AGAGAGAGAGAGAGAGAGAGAGAGAGAGAGAGAGAGAGAGAGAGAGATCACTTAGCACTTAAGACTTATATACTGCTTCATAGTTTATACTCCTATTATATACTCCTCTTATATACTATAGGAGAATATAAGAGTATATAATACTCTTATATACTCCTCTCTAAGCAGTTTACAGGGTCAGCATATTTCCACTAATAAACTGGGTCCCCATTTTACTGACCTTAGAAAGATGGGAAGCTTGAGCTGGTCAGAATCCTTGAGCCGGTCAGGATCGAACTGCTGGCAGTTGGCAGAATTAGTGTGCAATGCTGCATTCTAACCACTGTACCACTATGGCACTGCTGGAAAGAGATAGATAGATAAGATAGACACACACACACACACACACACACCAAATGTATATTTTGCTGATAAAGAAATAAAGGAAGACTATAGTATAGATCTGTTTCAAGCTATTTAGCTCTCATCAGCTAGCCATACCCTTACTTGGATTCAAACTTGGGCTGCCTGCATATTAGGCAGTTGTATTAACCTCTGAGCCACAAGTTCTCCTCCCTTCATCAGCTTGAGCCAGGGGAGAGATTAAGTGTTTTTCTATTGAGGCACCTGGTCTACCCCAACATGTGGGAGGGAGCATACTGCATCCCTTTCCCCTTTCAGCTCCAATCCAGGAGCCCTCAAGCTGTTGCATTCACGACAAACCATTTTTATACCAAATTTATATTTCACTGATATAGCTAGCTAGCTAGCTAGATAAAGACAGACAGACAGACAATATTTGTTTCCATGTGACATTTCAGTATTCATTTTTGGGGTAGGTGGTTGGTACAAGAATAAGTAAGTGTTGTATGACTACATTGCCTAGCAATAATTTATACATGGAAAATAGCATAGTTCTGCTTATATTTGTATGATCAAAGAGTTGCTGTAAAAATACAGAAGCCCATTGTTATTCTGAGAATTCCTGCTTATTGTCAAGCAAACAAGGAAACTATGCAACTCAAGCACATGAGCTTAAAATATGCAGGCAGAGAGACTAGGAAATAAACTCAGATCTTGAGTCAAATATTGTACATTCCCATAACATTCTCGTTTCCAATTCTCGTTCAGTGCTTTTTCCTCCGGAAACGTTCAGGAGGTCCTGCATAATAGATTTTTTAAAAACACTTTTTGGAGAAAATCTATAAACAAAATAGAAAACAGATAAAGATAAGTGAATAAAGCACAAATGGATTTTTTTTAAAAAGGATCTAAAAATACAGAAATTATACAAGGGAATAGTTTTCTGGTATACCATTGCTAAATTATGAATGACTGAATATATTATATTACTTACAGGAGTTAAAGTCATTTTCAACATAACAGAGTGGGACAGAATGTCTTCTTCCTGGACTAACTGCCCAGAGTCATGGGAAATTGGGTGACTTATAAATTTAATAAATAACTACAACTTAGTGAACTTAAGAACAGGACCGCTTTATGCTTGTGACCTGGTTATTATGGAAGCCAAATCATATTTTGAGTGGCCATTGGAAATGGCAATTATTTCCAATTATTAATGTATAAATAATGAAATTCAATGTAGAGAACAGTAAAGTCCTACACTTAGGCAAGAAAAACCAAAAGTACACATATAGACTGGGTGAAACCAGGCTTAATAGCAGTAACTGTGAGAGGGATCTTCGAGTCTTAGTGGGCAACCAGTTAAATATGAGCCAGCAGTGTGCAGCGGCAGCCAAAAGAGCCCATGCAATCCTAAATTGCATTAACAGAGGGATACAGTCAAGAGCCTCGGTGGTGCAGCGGAACTAAAGTGCTGTTAAGTGCTAGCACTTAGCTGCCAGCTGCCTGCAATTAGTGCAAGTTCGAATCTCACCAGGCTCAAAGTTGACTCAGCCTAAATTGAGGACCCAGATTGTGGGAGCAATAAGCCAACTTTGTATAGAACAACACAGCTTTGGGAGGGGGGGGGGCGAAAGCCCTAATAAGCAGGTATATACAAAAAAGTATGCAGGCTATTGCTATAATGCATTGTAAGCCGCCCTGAGTCTACGGAGAAGGGCGGCATATAAATTGGACTAATCAATAAATAAATAAATCATGGGAGCGCTCCATGGCTTAGGGCCGGGGTACTTACGAGACCGCCTTCTGCCACCAATAGCCTCCCACCGGCCAGTACGCTCCCACAGAGTGGGCCTCCTCAGGGTGCCGTCCGCCAGACAATGTCGGCTGGCGACCCCCAGGGGGAGAGCCTTCTCTGTGGCGGCGCCCGCCCTCTGGAACAACCTCCCCCCAGAGTTACGTACAATAACAGACCTCCGGATTTTTCGTCGGGCCCTAAAAACCCATTTATTTCAACTAGCTGGGCTGGCTTGAGTCAAATTTTAAACGGATTTTAAATTGGAATGTTTTAATTACGGCCAAAATTATTTAATTATTTTAAACAGTTTCTAGATTTTGTATGTTTTGTATGTATGTCTTGTTTTTACTTTGGCTGTTCACCGCCCTGAGTCCTACATTGGAGAAGGGCGGTATAGAAATTTAAACAAATAAAAAATAAATAAAATAAAATGGGAGTTAATAATACCACTCTATAAAGCCTAGAGTACTGCATCCAGTTTTGGTCACCACCCTATTAAAAAGTTGTTGAGACTCTAGAAAGAGTGCAGAGAAGAGCAACCAGGATGATTAGAGGACTGGAGGCTAAAACATATGAAGAACGGTTGCAGGAACTGGGCATGGCTAGTCTAGTGAGAAGAAGGGCCAGGGGAGACATGACAGCAGTGTTCCAGTATTTGAGGGGCTGCCACAGAGAGGTGGGTGGTCTAACTATTTTCCAAAGCACCTGTAGGCCAGACAAGGAATAATGGGTGGAAACTGAACAAGGAGAGATTTAACCTGGAAATATGGAGAAATTTTCGAACAGGGAGAACAATCAACCAGTGGAACAGAAGTTGCCTTTGGAAGTTGTGGGAGCTTTATCACTTGAGGCTTTCAAGAAGAGATTGGACTGCCATTTATCAGAAATGGTATAGGGTTTCCTGTTTAGGTGGGGGGTTGGACTAGATGACCTACAAGGTCTCTTCCAACTCTGTTAATCTGTTAATCTGTATAGATCACTTGTATTTTCATTGCTGTTGATTAAATTTGTATTTTCATTACTGTTTTTTCTCTTTGTCACCTTATGTTTTGGAAGAAATAACACCAATTTCTTGAAGATAGATATTAAACAGGAATAATACATCTCCTAAAGGAATGGTGCCTCCCATTTTGTCCAAAACATTAAGGAGAATGTTCTAATAAAACCAAAATTCAAATTTTACTGTGGCACCTTAACCCCTGGCAACTGAAGAACAGCTGAAAATAATAAATCGCATGAAAATATATACATAGATGGATGAAAAATAAGTTCATTACACAGAGCTTTTAAAAGCAGGTCCTACCCAGAGACATTAAGTAAATTATGCAATAAATCTTAATGCATCCGAAATAACTCACCAAAGTACCCTCTGTAATCATTCTTTGCCATGCTTGGTAGTATTGTTCATGCTCCAGTAGAAAGAAAGTAATGACAATTTTCATTTTTAACCCATTTTATTTACAAACAGGGATCCTTGGTCTGGGGGTTATTCCATTTGACATTAATTGCCATTTATTGTTTGTTTGAAAAATACATTCTATATCCTCACTGGACCTTACTATATGCAGTATTCATCACACTTGGACTGTGTAAAATCTACTTCTAAGAATCCTTTTCTTTTGCTGATTGTGGTGAGGGAAGAAAGGAAATCAACATGTAATTATTATTACTTTTTAATTTATAAAAATTATTGGCCGCCCATCTTACCATAGGGTAACTCCCGGTGGCTTGCAGTCATCAAAATGTATGGATACATGTACATTAAAACATAAATAAATTAAAACCAAACATTAAAATTGAATGACACATAGGGAGGGCGGAAGGCAGTTTTCTGACCTATGCTCTCTTAAAAAGCAGGAAGCAGAGTCCTGGTCCCAGCAAAACCCCTTTTATTCACACGACTAAATTCCTTTCATTCACAGTCAGCAAGACTTAGCAAACAGTCTTTCAGAGGAATATTTATCAACACAGACCTTATCTCGCTTGGAAAGCTGCCAGGTAACTAGTTTCCAAATGCAGGGCAAGGCAAAACTTGGCACAGAGTCTCTGGGATTCACAAACAGATCTTCCCACTCTTGAAACGACCGACCAAACAAATTGTTTCCTGCAAAAGCCCACTCCCTGTTCGCTCCTCTTTTGTTTCCTATGGGAGGGGCCAATCACCCCCAAGGTGTGGCTTTACTCCCAAGTTGACCCTGCTTTCTTAGTTATTCTTGTCTTCTGGCAGCTCTGCGCATGCGTACCCTGAGAACAGGCTCCAGCTGTTCCTCTGCCTCGCTGCTGTCTAGCTCCCTCTCTGTCTCCGACACAGAGCCCTGGTCTGAGCTTTCCCCAGCCCCCAGGACTGGCCCAAGTTCCTCCCCAACCTCACTGTCTGACTCTGCCAGCGGGCGACAGCAGGCGGAGTGGAGGGAGATAGGAGCCGTTACTCAATCAACCTCCTAACTTTGAGTAAACATGACTTTGAGCTGTAACTTCCAAAATAAAGGTAGAGAAAGGTGATTTGAGTCCTTGGAGACCTATTTTTGAGAGTTGCTCCAAACTGTGTGTATTGTTGAGTATTTAAGACACCCAACTCCATCATTGCTCTGTGCCTGTTAATTGCTCTAGCATTCTTCTCTCCAGTGAGTGTTATCTCTGTTTTGCAAGGCTACATTAAACTTTCCCCATACTTTCCCTTGTAGTTTTTATTTTTTTTTTATTCTTCATTGTCCTTTTTTGTTAAAGGGCGATGCTTCGGCTTATCTATATTTTGGTGCTCTCAATTGCCTTCTGTAGTTTCAGCTGCTGTCTTTGTTCAGCTGACTTTGAAATTTCCTTTTAACATGCAGCTGGTATTGTTGGGTTCTATCAGAAAAATATCTCTGAAAATGTTTTAATATTTTCACTTACTCTATATGAATCTCGCTTCTCATTCCATCACTACCCTGAGTGATAAGTGTTCATAATATTCTCTTTTAAATATTTTCCTTCCCTCCCTCCCTCCTTCCTCCCCTCCTTCCTTCCTTCCTTCCTTCCTTCCTTCCTTCCTTCCTTCCTTCCTTTCCTTCCTTCTCCTTTCTCCCTCCCTCCCCCCTTCCCTTCCCCTTCCCTTCCCTGGATTTGAGGATTTCCTTTATTTTTCTAAATTAAATTACGTTGAACCTTTTTTTAGAATTTAACACTATATTTTGAGTGGCTTCCAACTTCAAAGAATGGGGCCACCAGTTCTTCATCATTGATGTAAAATCTGGCAAAACCACAAGTCTTGGTCTTCTGTAGGACAAATGTTCCAGAATGACATCATCACTGCAAATTTAATTTCCAGAGTTACAAAACTCAGAATCCTTCAAATGTCATAGAAAAATTGAGGATGATTTGCATGGCTTATTACTAGTTACATGAACGTCTTGGAGTCCCTTCGTTGTCCTAATCTCATGGTGTTATTTTGTAGACTTTTTGATTCTGACTCCTCTTGAGTTTCTTTCAAATGCATGTTCTGGAGTGCTTCTCAATTGGTAATCAGTTTTAACCTTGATGGCTCTGCAGAGACATCTAGTGACTTGAGTTTTGCATGCACACCAAAGGTAAACCAATAAACAACTGCAAACATGAGCACGCATAGAGAAATCCAACTGCTCAAATGTTCTGGTGCTCTAGATTTAATTGCTACTTCTTGATGTTCCTCAGAATCTTTGAGTTTTATCAGAAAAGGTGGGGAGAAGATGGCAGTCGTACATTTTTGAAACAGAAAACATATTTAGGGTTTAGTGGATGTCTACAGTTTCAGAAAGCTTAAACCATTAACAGGATGTTACGGATTTTGACACATTTAATGCTCTACTCATTTATCTTCCATTCAAGAACTAAACTTTAGATGCTGAGCATAAGTTATTTGAAATAATCAAAACACAGCATTGTCATTGTGATGGTGTTGTAAGTGTCGCTACTCATTTTAATTATTTGTATTTGTGTGGCAGTTCATCTGTGTGGAAAATTGGAAGAACTTGAGGATCAAGTCTATAAATGTCAAAATAATACTTTCTGGAAATAGAGAGGGGGAAAAAAAGAACAATTAGAATAAAGTTAATTATTGTAAGGCTGAGGTTTTAGATTTCTTTCAAAGGTGGATTTGCCTACATAGGCATGCTTTAGAAAATAGAATTTCTAAACAGTCATCAGACTGTTTATGTGCATGGAAAGTATACACAGGAGCAATCATGAAATAATTTTCAATTTACATTTTTTTTTTACAGTTGGGTTAACAATTTTGGACATGAAGGCCTTGGGCTTCTCCTGGATGTCCTTGAAAAACTCCTTGATAAGAGACAGTAAGTATAGACCGTATAAGAAGTAATAAGGGGAAGCAACAAGAGTGATTAATATAGGACCGTCCGTTAATGTTATTATTATTAATTTTCAGGCAAGAAAGTATTGACAAGAAAAATCAACATAAGCTTATACAGTGCCTCAAAGCGTTTATGAATAATAAGGTAGGAATTTCAGCCCTGGCTGATTATTTTTTTTCCCTCTCTCTCTCCTTCAGATAGGTTCACTTTAACTGGTAATGAATGACCGTCTTTAAAGAAAGAGATATCTTTAATGAAATGGAAATTTGATCTACTAATGATGATGGTTTTGCCTGTAGTTTAATATTGCTGCATGCAAAGAATTCGGAATAAGGCGAAACCGATTCATATGTTATTTCAAGGCTTGAGAACGGCACCAAGTACACCGAAGCATTTCCTTTTCTTCTGAGAACTGGAAATAAAAAACCCTTATATATTTTTTTAAAGGTCAGCTCTTCCAGACTAGGAAGCCAAAGTCATACAGGGTAATATTACTTTTATTAGAAAGATACAGTAATGGAATCTTGCAATGCCTCCCCCCCCCCTCTTTATCTTCGTGAAAACAAGGGAAGGTCTCGTCAGAGTTTTTTCTTTTTCAGGTTACAGCACTGCCCCAAACTCAGGTTTCTTTTATCTGATTATTGTCTAGGAAGCAGCTGTTCCTCCTGACCTCCAAGGTCACTCCTTCTGCTCATTACAAAGCTTCAGTGATACGGATCCCAAGATAATATCGTAAAAAAAGTAGAACTTGTATGAGTAACCGAACTTTTGGATAAATCTCTCCAATCTCGTTGTGAACCTCGGAGGCCAAATTTAGTGATGTCAGAGTGCTTTAATTTTAAGAAGAGGGTATAGGACAATTGGGTCTGCAACCTTAAACACACAAAGAGCAATTTGGACTTATTTCCCACAGAAAAGAAAACACCGGGAGCCACAAAAACCCTTCCTGTGCCTGACTATTTCTTGAACGGCCACAAAACTAGCATATGTAATTGAATTAAACATTCTGTTTTCTTCTGAAACTTTTCTTTTCTTGGATTTATCCATGGTTGGCCTACCAGGAGTTGAAAAGCTCAATAAATTGCGTGCTGGCAGGTGTTGCACATTGGCAGTTGTGATGTATATTTTGTGTGACGAGCCGCAGTAGAGAGGTGAAAGAGCCACACACAGCTCCAGAGCCGCAGGTTGCTGATCCCTGGTGTAGGGGGCTATGTGAGGGCAATGGAAATATGGTAATACCTTGAACTACCTGTATTGTTCTCAGTGTATTTTTAAATCCAGAAAAAAAAAACCCAGAGAAACCAAAATGTCCTTCCGGGTTTACTTCCATGTTGTTTATCTATTGCCGGCAAGACTTAGAAATTTAATTTTCTAGGGATTTTTTTTTCATAGGAAAAAAAAAAAAAGACGGCGTTAAGCAAACATAGGCAGGGAAATAACAAGCTATGTGGCATTCAAGCTGTGTTTCCATCATGAAATACAATTATCTCCCTGATAAGCATAGCCAAAATACTCATTTGCAATATTTTAATAGACACATCATCTTGTTTTCCAGTATACTAGGCTTTTTCTGCATATGGGGAATTTCTTTTTTCTAGAAACCTGTCCTCTTTTTAAAAGTATGTTTCATTGAACTTGGTGAGACTCCGTTCTCTCCATCAGTTCCTCCACTGATCCGGTAGAATGATGCTGTTGTGTAATGCTGATTGAGAACAACCTGAGCAGCCTATAGCTTCATATGCTCAGTTTTGAGAAAAATGTTCTTCGAAATTGGAGATAATGTCATGTTTTGGCGTATCATCTCCGGCCATTTAGCAATAGCACTTAGACTTAGACTTATATACTGCTTCACAGTGTGCACAGCCCTCCCTAAGCGGCTTACAGAGTCAGCATATTGCCCCCAACAATTTGAGGTCCTCATTTTACCCACTTTGGAAGGATGGAAGGCTGAGTCAATCTTGAGCCTGGTAAGATAAATAGATAGATAATAGGGAGGGAGGGAGGGAGGGAGGGAGGGAGAGAGAGAGAGAGAGAGATGGAGACAAACAGACAGACAGACAGATATTTGTTTCCGTGTGACTTTTCAGTATTCATTCAGTATTTTTCATTGAACTGAAGAAACTTCTTGGATGACAAGCAAAATATTTGGGGTTTCCTAGCTGATAGTATCAAGCTAACTTTGAAAGCTGAACAAGACCTAGTTACTACTTGGCATAGCAAGAAATCCTACAAATATAGACAAGGAGGTAAAAATAATAATAATAGCAATAGCACTTAGACTTATATACCGCTTCACAGTGTGCTTTAAAGCCCTCTCTAAGCAGTTTTACAGAGTCAGTCTCTTGCCCCCAACAATCTGGCTCCTCATTTTACCCACCTGGGAAGGATGGAAGGCTGAGTCAACCTTGAACCTGGTGAAATTCGAACTGCCAAATTGCAGTCAGCCGGCAGTCAGTAGAAGTAGTCTGCAGTACTGCACTCTAACCTCTGTGCCACCGCGGCTCAATGAGAGACTCTAGCCCTAAATTAGAGGTTCAATCTTGGTTTACTACTGATCACTTTGTGCTTCTGAAAGTTGTAACTCTGGAAGCACCAAAGAGGTTAAAGGAGAACCTGCTGTATTGGTCTCTGTAGCTCCAAATGACATCTCCGAACTAATTTGAAAATAAGAACGGTTTTGGGAGAGGCATTAGTTTCACCAGAGGTGATTAAACTAAGCGTGGACTAGTGGGCCCGAGGGGGTTCTCTTTATCGTTATAAATCACACATTAAAAATGCCCACCGAATGGAACATTAAAAAAAGCTCCAAGGAAGTCTTTATCTAACAATAACTTTCCATAATTGGAGCGGTTATCTTTATTAAGTAGCCTTCTGATGGGACATCTTGGACGACCCAAGATCTGAGAGCTATAAAAAGGAAGAAGCTGATCTTTCAGGTATCCCAGAAGGGTCTTTAAACCTGGTACATCGGACGTCTGAATTGGGCTGTGGAATGGACAAAGAAGCCATAATATAAAGATGAAGTTGCATAGATATTTCTACCTCAATCAATCAGAATAGAGCTGGAAGGGATCTTGGAGGTCTTCTAGTCCAATCCCCTGCTCAAGAATCAGACCCTATACCATTTAAGACAGCCTTTTCTTAAAAACCTCCAATGATGAAGCTCCTTCAACTTCTGAAGGCAACTTCTGTTCCATTGGTTCATTGTCCTCACGGTTGGGAAATTTCTCCTCAATTCCACGTTTGCTTCTTTCTTTGATTATTTTGCATCCATTGTTTCTTGTCTTGCTTTCTAGTGTTTTGGAAAAAAAAACAAGTTGACCCCCTCTTCTTTGTGGCAGCCCCTCAAATCCTAGAATACTGCTATCATGGTGTGGTCTTACTAAGGATATCTAAAGCGGAACTAATACTTCACGTGATTCTGATTGTGTTAGCTTTTTCGGTTGCTGCCGTACTGTCATCTCCCCAAATCTGGCTCTTTCAGAACCTTGTAATTGATGAGCTTTGTTTAGGGATTATAAAACTTGAAGATTGAGCGTGCTGCAAACTCATTATCTTTTAAACCATTCCTTCTCCCCCCTCCAAGTATGGACTACAAAGAATACTGGGAGATGAACGGAGCCTTCTCTTACTTGCCAGAGCAATTGATCCAAAGCAACCAAACATGATGACTGAAACAGTGAAAATACTCTCTGCCATTTGTATCGTTGGAGAAGAAAACATGTAAGTAACGGAACTATTAAGTGCATTTAATTAATTAAATAAATGTATGAACCCTACTTTTAGGGCATTAAACTAAACTGTCATTATCAGTTTAGTTTTGCTTTAATACGTTGACCTCCATAAGTTTCCTCTTGGTCCTTGACTTCCAGAGAGATTTAAGAGTTCTTTTATGACTATTTATCTGGAGGATAAACACATATGCCACCTCCATCTCCTATATGCCACCTCTATCTTCTAGATCAGGGGTGTCAAACTCGTTTTCATTGAGGTCTGCATCAAGGTTGTGTTTGACCTTAGGGGGCCGAGGTGGGTCACTCGTGTCGGGGGCGCCTGTGGTGGGCCGAGCGTTCTGCCAGCGAAACGGACTCCTGGGCCGCGTTTTCAGCTGCGATGACCTTCTGCAGCCCTATGCCGGCGAAAACGGAGCTTGGGGGGAGCCGCATGCAGTCCTCCTGAGCTACGATTTCACTAGCAGAGGCATTGCGGGCCAGTCCTTTGCTGCTTCCAGGGCCAGATCTATGCCCTGCATTTGTCCTCTGCACCTCTGTCCTAAATCAAAGAGAGCTTGTACGAATTGCTAGAGAGCAGCATTTGGATGAGCAGGTGGTCCTTGTTTCACAACCATTCGTTCAAATTTGTGACAATGCTATCGCAGTCCGCCTTGATCACATGATCACGATTTGCAAGCTTCATTGCTGACTTTTCACAAGCAAAGTTAATGGGCAAGCCGGCAGGAAATCAGAAATCAAATGATGTAATTGCTTAATGATTGGTAACCTGCCAGCTCCCCCATTAATCTTGCTTGTGAAAAGCCAGCAATGAAGGTTGCAAATTGTGATCATGTGACGGTGGGGTACTGCGCTAGTCACTTAATGATGGTAACCAGTGCTGGCCAGAATTGCCATCATTAATAAGTGCTATTACATGATATCACACTTTGCAACCACATCACTTAGTGACAGAAAGTCACAATCCCAATTATTATGATCTCTTGCAATAAGGCTAGGGATGTTTTATTTGATTTGGGCTAATTTTTGAATGCAAGAATAGAGAGCTGCAAGGAGGAATACAGGATACAGTCATTTTTCTCCCGTGAAGTTTTTCAAGTTAGTTACTTAAGAATCCAAACCTTAAACAGTCTGACTTTATTTAAGAATTGAAGGAACAACAAGCAAAGTCAAAAAGATTTATTTCCTTGATTACTTAGCGGATTGCTTTTTAGGTGTTGGTTTTTAAATCAATTTGCTACCAAAGAGGCAAAAAAAAAAAAAAAAAAAAAAGGGGCCTTTAAGAATCCGAGGTGTGATTTTTGAATAGTCTGTTAAAGTACGTGCATATCTTTACAACCCATTGAAATAAATCTCTGTTACAGGCTCGACAAAATTTTAGGAGCTATAACAATTGCAGCTGAGAGAAATAATGGAGAACGATTTGCTAACATAGTGGAGGGGCTCGAAAATCACGAAGCTCTGCAATTACAGGTAGGATTTCTTGGATTTACAATTTAGACAATTAGATTAGGCAACAATACATTTTAATTACTAGCTGCATCAAAAACATTTAAAATGGCTGGAGATAATTTGGGTTCCTGTGACCTTGTTTTGGGTAGAAGTTTCAAATCCCAAGTAAATATTCATCTCAAATTTCAGTAAGAAAAGCCTGATAATCTTCTTAAATACTTTGCATAAACACATTTGAAACACTCATTGCTATACATTGCAGAAATTTACTTTTTACTGACTTTTTTTTTTTTAAAAAAAAAACTGTTTACGAATGCAGAGAAGTATAAAAACAAATGCTTCTCTTTTCTCTATGCAGGGCAACGTATTTTAGAATATAAACTTTCAGTCCGTGCAGACCATCCTTACATACGTTTCCAAAATTCTTTTCTGAAATCATTTTTTTCCCAGAGTTTTGTGTCTAAAGAAGGATTGATAAAAGGAGAATGGTCAGTCCTGGAGGCCATCTTTTTACTTTGGATCTTCAGGGCTGCCACGTTTAGTGCTGTGGGAAATTGGGAGGGGGGGAATTGCATGGAGTTGCAAAGATATCTAGCCATAATAACATTCCTTTCTATGAGAGTCAAGGACATACTGTCCTGCACCTGGAATGGCGTGACTGGGAGGCATCTCCAGTTGGGACCGTGCGTTGATTGGACCATGTGATGAACATGTATGTGCTGAGCAGGGACTTGGACTTTCTTTTGGGTGGGGAAAACCTGAAAGCTTTCAGATTCGGGTTTTCTCAGATGTGCCAATATGACATCTCTAATAAAATGGAACTCTGAGGAGCTTCTATCTTCGAAGCTTTCTTTCATTGAGGATATTACTTGGAACCCTGACATTAGCCCGAATCTGACATATATTTTAACCTTTCTCTCTGAAGCGGTTTCTCTTGGTGACTTTAAGATCCATGCACTTCGACTCCCAGAATCCCTCAGCCACCCATGGAATTCCAGAAGTTGCAGTCCACACATCTTAAAGTCATCGAGGTTGAGACACACTAGTGTTAAATCATAACATCCTTCTTTCTATTATCCTGTATAATCATCCAAGCCATGGATCACATTTTCATGTTTTTATCTTCATCCAAAAAGTCCATCAGAAATTTCCAGCCACCAGTAAAACAATAATTAGATTATAACAGGCAAGTTATAGAGGAAAGGTGACTCTGGAGTGAGTACCACACAGCCCAAAGTTTGTGAGGATACACAACATTCAGTTACCACAGACAGGAAGAAGTGGGTCCCTGGCTGAAAAATCAGTCCATCAAGGCTATCAATTGAATCATTTAACTCAACAAATACATTAGCTGGATGATGAATTATCAAGAAGAGGATAAGCGGGAAAGTCCACAGTGCCATTGAAGAAAATTAATCAAACCCAACAATTTCAGATAGTGTTGGGCCCTTGGGAGTTTTTTGAGCTTGGTTGTTTTCTTGCAGATATGTCATTACCCAGCCAGGTAACATAAAGTGCTAGCTGATATCATCTAGCGTTGAAGATGTTATCTAGTTGGGTAACGAAACATCTTCAAAAAAGAGAGCACCAAGGATCCATCAACTACAAATACTCTCTTCCATTGGAACCCTGAGAAGAATATATGTAGTTGAAATGAGGGTTATGTTGGTGCTCCCTGAACTTGGAGTGCACTGATGATATTACCTATTTATTTATTTATTGGTTCAATTTATATGCCGCCCTTCTCCAGAGACTCAGGGTGGCTTACAATACGTTAAGCAATAGCCTTCCTACTTTTGTATATACCTGCTTAGTAAGGCTTTTGGCCCCCCCAAGTGGTGTTCTTTTTTTTTTATACAAAGTCAGCTTATTGCCCCCACAATCCGGGTCCTCATTTTACCTACCTCGAAAGGATGGAAGGCTGAGTCAACCTTGAGCCTGGTGAGAGTTGAACTTGCAGTAATTGCAGGCAGCTGGTGCTACTTTAACAGCACTTAGTCAGCTGCGCCACCCAGGCTCTTCCCAGTTTAGATAATGAAAGATCTGCAAGGAAACCACCAAAATCAGAAAGCACCAACCACCTTCTCATAAGGAAGACTCACAACCATTTTGGATGCACTAAAGTTAGCCGTAGTTCCCCATGACTTCCTTGTAATTATGCATAGAAGATTCCAGTAGGATATATATGCATGGTAGAATTTCTGCATTTTTAGCTAAGACATTTTTCCATCCGAAGATCTCTGGAAAGCATAAAACTGAAAATAGAACTCTTTGGATGGTTAGTTACTTTTTCACATATTGTCTCTGAGACGTGAATCACTACGAGCCCTGGAATGCCACCATCTGAATGAGATAATGATTGAGTTTGTGACTTCTGTCTTGTAAGGTTAAGTCCATAAGACAAGAATTATTTCTGTAATCTTGACATGACAATATGAAAACTTGGAGTGGCTACAAGGAACCAACCGGAAAGATTAGGTTCTCCAAAGGTCAAGTTACGATGCAGTGATATCCCTTTCCTCGTCTGAAGGCAAGCTTTGGGGTGGACAGTGTCATTTCTATTCATGCTTGCCCTTCCAATAAATACAAAAAAATGGTCTGCAACCATAAATAAAATCAACAGCTTTAATAGCTTAAAGCAAAACAGGCCCTCAACTCTAAATGCAATAAAGGTAAAGGTTCCCCTCGCACATATGTGCTAGTCGTTCCTGACTCTAGGGGGCAGTGCTCATCTCCATTTCAAAGCCGAAGAGCCAGCTCTGTCCAAAGACGTCTCTGTGTCATGTGGCCAGCATGACTCAATGCCAAAGGCGCACAGAACGCTGTTACCTTCCCACCAAAGGTGGTCCCTATTTTTCTACTTGCGTTTTTTTACGTGCTTTCGAACTGCTAGGTTGGCAGAAGTAAATGCAATAAAATGCTAGACTGAATAACAGTTTAGGATGGCCACCTTGACTAAATAAGGACTTGTTTTTAGAATTTCAACCGTTTCCCATCAGTCAATAATTTGCCATTTTGCTCCATTGAATGTTGATGCACCTGTTTTTGATTTTCCCAGCGCTATACTTGAAATGCTTCCCGGTGGACGAATGTACCACCGTTGCTATTATTTTCAGTTCCTCTCAAGGGTAGAAGGCTTAGTAGAATTGATGCTAATGACTTGTATTTGAATAATAACATCATCTTGTCAACGTCAAGTATAATCACATTCTATTTTAGTGTCTTGGGTTTTGAAATGGAGTCACTGATAATTTATTTAGTTGGTTTTTTTTTTTAGCATATTGTGTCTTTAGTATGGCCTTAAGAGATAACCTACTAGATACATAAGGTAAAGGTTCCCCTCACACATATGTGCTAGTCATTCCTGACTCTAGGGGGCGGGGCTCATCTCCGTTTCAAAGCCAAAGAGCCAGCGCTGTCCGAAGACATCTCCGTGATCATGTGGCCAGCATGACTCAATGCCAAAGGTGCACGGAATGCTGTTACCTTCCCACCAAAGGTGGTCCCTATTTTTTCTACTTGCATTTTTTACGTGCTTTTGAACTGCTAGGTTGGCAGAAGCTGGGACAAGTAACGGGAGCTCACTCCATTACGCAGCACTAGGGATTCGAACTGTTGAACTGCTGACCTTTCGAGCGACAAGCTCAGCATCTTAGCCACTGAGCCACCGTGCCTCTGTATATACATAGGAATACATAGGAAGACTCAATTTGTTTAGCTTTTACACGCAACACGGGAGCATTAAAATAGAAGTAAGTGCGGATAGCATTATGCACGCTGCCCATGTGATACGCTCCGTTACAGTGATTCCAAAGTCAATCTCCTTTAAGGACTTTGTGATTTTTTATGACTCTCACATCCATACTCCGTGACTGAAGGTACAACTGCAAGACTCATTAACTCGTCTCTAACGGAAATGGTCTCTCTACTAGTATTAATACAAGCAATTAAGTCAGAATTTCTCCTGGCAAAAACAATCACAGCAGATGGCACCTTTTCTCTCTATTAATTTCTGATTGGACATGTACTTTGGCTTGTTCAGTTATGTCATAGCTGTAACATAACAAGGATAATTCAGTCCACTACAATGCAGTATTTACAGGGAGATGTTGAAGTAGAAGAATTTACAGTTTTTTATATATTAAAATTATATTCACTTTATGGATGATCAGGTTATAGATTTCAGTGCTGCCATGCTGATAAAATAATTTGAGGACACTTATCCATTTGAAAAAGGACCTCTTGAGCTTGTCTCTAAAAAAGTTAAGGATTAATAACCTGTTCTAGCAATAGCAATAGTACTTAGACTTACATACCGCTTCAAAGTACTTTACAGCCCACTCTAAGCGGTTTACAGAGTCAGCATCTTGCCCCCAATAATCTGGGCCCTCATTTTACCTACCTCGGAAGGATGGAAGGCTGAGTCAACCTTGAGCCGGTCAGGATTGAACTTCTGGCAGTCGGCAGAATTATCCTGAAATACTGTATAATAAGCAGAAGGAAGGAAGGAAGGAAGGAAGGAAGGAAGGAAGGAAGGAAGGAAGGAAGGAAGGAAGGAAGGAAGGAAGGTCATTCTCGTCATTAGACTAGACATACTGAGTTCTGCAACCATTCTTCCTATGATTTAGTCTCCAGTTCCCTAATCATCTTTGTTGCTCTTCTCCGCACTCTTTCTGGTTAGTTAAAATATACATCTCTTCGTTCCTTTCTCCAATTTTATTGCACAAGTGCATTGGGTATGCTGATCCTAATAAGCTATATTAACTATAACTTCTATTTACAGGTTGCCTGTATGCAGTTCATAAATGCCCTCGTGACTTCTCCAGAAGAGCTTGATTTTAGGGTACATTTGAGAAATGAATTCCTGCGCTGTGGGCTAAAGAAAATATTACCAGTAAGTTACTTGTAATAGAAGTGCTAATGCATTGGGTTCTGTGGATTGCTTGCTTTGTGATTATAAATCTTACAAAAGAGTTGCAAGATAGGACTTAGATTTGACCTTAATGGTTCTTTATCATTTTTAATCATTGTGAAAGGGGAACAGAATGCTGCAGCATTAAAAATGCTCAACAGTGAAAAATTTAATTTAATTTAATTTAATTTCCAATTTATATACCGCCCTTCTCCCTGAGGACTCAGGGCGGTGTACAGCCAAGATAAAAAACATAGAATACAAATATTAAAAAACATTTAAAAATATATATAAATTTTGGCCCGAAAGTTAAGAAATCACAGACTGATTAAAAGAATTTAAAAATTTCTTCTTAAGCCAACCCGGCTTGCTGGAAAAGATAGGTTTTAAGGGAACGACGGAAGGCATTGAGGTCATGGATTCTCCTTATCTCCGGGGGCAACTGATTCCAGAGGGTGGGAGCCCCCACCGAGAAGGCCCTTTCTTATATTAGGCATATGTGTAAAAACATGCTAGGTCTTATTTTCAGGATAGGTCTTATTTTCAGAGAAGCGGCGTATAAACATTGGTCTTCATTTAATCTTTTCAAAATTAAACTGTAATCAACAGCAGCTGATTTTGATTCCCAAGCGATCTCTAGAGGAGAAATAAATGGGAATAAGTAGTTTGTTTGTAGCATAGACGAAAAGGATTTAAGGCAAGCAAAATGCCACATCCTAAATTGTTTCTTAACAATGCAGAGTAGAGACAAATTCACTGCCTGTCATAGAGAAAGTGGACTATTTTTTGAAGAATATGGGGAATGTTGCCAGAATCAAAAGATTTTATCCTGGTCATTGGTTAACGAAGCCGTAATTTAAAATATTCCAATTCCTTACGCATATAAAGCATCAATTTAAAAAAAGTTGGCTTGGGTAAGACTCATTGCAGAAAGGATGACGAGTAGATGTTAGTCTTCTGTTTAATCATGATTTGGTAGCATCTTCATTCTGGAACAGTGAAAAAAAACCATTTATCTGAAATAAGTGGAAGAACACCATTGAGTCGAAAATTCTTCTTTAATTGAATTCAGTGTGGTTTATTTTAGCCAGCTATTTAAAAAAGCCCACATGGTTAAATAGAAAAGACAATTACCAATTCGGATTAAGCCATTGTGCGGAAGAATTTTAGTCCTGAATGCCTATGGATAAAAAAGAAAAATCATACAGGTTTCCTGAAATGTGAGACACTTGTCCAATGATTTAAACGTGATGACCCATATTAGAGTTGAGTCGTATTCCTAGATCTTTATACAGCTGGGTAACATCTATACCTAATTACGGGCTCTGCATTTTTTTTTTTCCATAACATTTATTTTTTATTTATTTATTTTATTAAACTTGTATGCCGCCCTCTTTCCCAAAGAACTCAGGGCGGCTCACAACGATAAAAACACATAAAATTCAATATTCAAAATATAAAAACCAATACAATCCCCTTTAAAAACCCCTTCAGTCCAATCTGGGCAGGGCAAATAGCCATGTTTTGAGGTCACGGCGGAAAGAGTGAAGGTCAGGGGCCATCTGGAGCTCCAGGGGGAGCTCATTCCACAAAATAGGCGCGCCCACAGAGAAGGCCCGCTCTCTGGGAGTCGCCAGCCAACACTGTCTGGCCGACGGGACCCCAAGGAGGCCCTCCCTGTGAGAGCGCACCGGGTGATGGGGAGCTGTCGCTGGCTGCAGATGGTCCGCCAGGTACCCCAGGCCTATGCCATGTAGGGCTTTATAGGTAATTACCAGCTATCCAGGATTCTTAAAAGATATTAAATGGGTACAGATGGTTGACAGGGAAATCTGCAGCAACTGTGTTTGCCTTAGCAAGACCCTTTTGCATTTTATGCCATGCAGCTATTCGCCGCCCTGAACATTTGGCATTTGATCACGCAAATGCAGTAAAAAGGAATGAGTTTAGCTGGGGAGATCTGAAAATGCGTCACCTCCTTTTCTTGGAGCTTTAAAATAACATGTTCTCAGATCTCCGGCGTATTATTTCATTACTAAAGCAAGAAATCCATTATTTCAATTTAATCAGCGTGCCCTTTCTTAAAAGCCTGTTTTCTTAGATATTTTAGGTTGGGCTTGGATTAGAGTATGGCTGCAAATGAAGTTGCTGTAGAACGTCTTTTAGGTCACTTTAACTCTGGTTGAGAAGAGATGGGATGGCTTGGCAAGCCGCCAGTTAATACTGAGTACAGCTTCCCTCTAAAGCTTGCAAGTATGAAACTGGGGACTTGGAAGGAAATGTGAAGACATCCACTTGAGATGATAGGTATTCTATATTTCCTCCCATCTTTGCTTACCCTTCTTCTTTCTTAGTTAAATGATGGGAAAGAATCATTGACTAAACTGTCAAAAATAAACATTTCCATCCTTATGCAAATATTTCATCTTTTAAACTAACTTTTCCTTCCATGATGCTGTTTTAGAATGTTAACATATCACAAATGCAAAATAGATACATAGATACATGGCTGGCTGGCTGGCTGGCTAGATACGATAGATAGATACGATAGATAGATAGATAGATAGATAGATAGATAGATAGATAGATAGATAGATAGATAGATAGATAGATAGATGATAGATAGATAGATAAAAAGTAAAGGTAAAGGTTCCCCTCGCACATATGTGCTAGTCGTTCCCGACTCTAGGGGGCAGTGCTCATCTCTGTTTCAAAGCCAAAGAGCCAGCGCTGTCCGAAGATGTCTCCATGGTCATGTGGCCGACATGACTCAACGCCAAAGGCTCACGGAACGCTGTTACCTTCCCACCAAAGGTGGTCCCTATTTTTCTACTTGCATTTTTTACTTGCTTTCGAACTGCTAGATTGGCAGAAACTGTGACAAGTAATGGGAGCTGACCCCGTTATGCGGCACTAGGGATTCAAACCGCTGAACTGCCGACCTTTCGATTGAAAAGGTCAGCATCTTAGCCACTGAGCCACCACGTCTCTTAGAGAGATAGATAACAATAGCAATAGCACTTAGACTTATATACCATTTTACAGTGCTTTACAGCCCTCTCTAAGCAGTTTTACAGAGTCAGCATATTTGCCCCCAACAATCTGGGTTCTTATTTTACCCACCTCGGAAGGATGGAAGACTGAGTCAATCTTGAGCCTGGTGAGATTTGAACTGCAGAACTGCAGCTAGCAGTCATCTGAAATAGCCTGCAGTACTGCACTCTAACCACTGCACCACCTTGGCGATGGATAGGTAGGTAGATAGATAGATAGATAGATAGATAGATAGATAGATAGATAGATAGATAGATAGATAGATAGATATGATATAGAGATAGAGATAGAGATAGAGATAGAGATAGATAGATAGATAGATAGATAGATAGATAGATAGATAGATAGATAGATAGATAGATAGATAGATAGATAGATAGATAAGCTGAGTCCCTCTGTGGTTTTTACTCCACTAGCCATAGCCAACTTCAGGAGCAGTGCTCTTCTCTGTTTCAAGGCCATCGCTGTTCCAAGTAGCAAAAGGAAGTCATGGTATTCTAGTTTATTTACAATAAGCCATGATTCTCAGAAATTCTGACTTCCAAACTCTTCCATTTGCTCTCTCGAAAGAAAGTGGTTGGGAAATAAATGGATTCTATGATTGCAAAGCTATATAGCGGAACAATACAATATCTATTGGAAATATGGCAAGCCATAACCTCACCTCACTTTTCTTGATGATTACCATGTTGAAACATAATATGAAACATTGCTTTTCATAGCACAGCAAAACATGGTATATTGTGTAAGGTGTATTTTTTTTTCTTTTTGAAGGTATTTCTATTGTTTTCTCCGCATTTCAAAGCAAAATGGTTATGTTTTTAATTTCTGTATCTCCACAAGGTGCAGTTGAGATAACAGATTGCAAATCAAGATGGTTTTATAACCTTTCCCATAATTTAGATTTTAATTTGCCCAGTGACTTAAGGTTCCAATTTTAATAAAAATAAAAATAAAGTACACAGAATGATAAAGGAAGGTAATAGTTTACTGGATGTAATCATTCATCCTGTAAACTATTACCTTCCTTTATCATTTAACATTTAATAATTGGATAAATTTAGTAACATGAATAAATTTGATCAATTACACAGAGAACAGCTATTGTGCAGCCAAATTTTTTAGCAAACCCTCCTGACTGACAGATGTACATGTTTAATTAAATCTTTTATTCTTACAACTGCAGGTTCTCTTGTTCAGGATCTCAAATCACCACAATGGCTTTTATCAAATATAATTTATGAGAATAATTATGCCACTTAAAAAGAAGAATTTAGGGCACATTAAAACAGAATTACCTTTCTGTGTTCAATTGAAAGAGCGGCTGAGATTAATAAAATCTAGATATCTTTAAAAGCTAAAATGGGGAGCTGTTACTCAGATGATCAGACAATCTTTCATTTATATATATATATATTTACACGCTATTGTTTATCCATAGCCTATATAATTTTATTATAATTTTACTTGTCAATGGGACTATTTCAGAATTAAGTACATTTCTAATTTTAGATGGACAAATTCTTATCCTGACCAAATTTATGGCATTAGTAACTCCCTGGGGTTTTCTGTGGGCATTTGTGATATAACATATCATCATATTCTTATAATCATTAGATCATAGTACAGCATTTATTGTGTATTTTAAACATTTTTAAAAAGCATAAGTTGTTGTGATGCTTTCAAAATGCTTCCTTTCCTAGCAAATTATTCTCCTGTCTTTCTACCAATCCTTCAAGGATTGGTAGAATCAATCCTTGAGTCTCTCCGGAGACTCAGGGCGGCTTACAATGTGCTCAGCAATAGCCTTCATCTTTTTGTATATTTATACAAAGTCAGCTTATTGCCCCCACAAACTGGGTCCTCATTTCACCTACCTTAGAAAGGATGGAAGGCTGAGTCAACCTTGAGCCTTGGCGAGATTCGAACCTGCAGTAATTGCAGGCACCTGGTCTTAATAACCAGCTTAATAACAGGGTTGATTTTAATTATGTTTTAATTGTACATGCATCAACATATTTTTATGACTGTAAACTGACTAGTGTTGCCCTATGGTAAAATGGGTCACCAATAAATGTTATATATATGTATATATCTATGTCTATCTCTATATATCTATCTCTATATAGCTATCTCTATTTCTATCTCTATATATCTGTATCTATACCTATATATCTCTATATATCTGCATTATTGTTTCAGCCAGGGTTTTTCCTACGTAAATCAAGATGTTTATATAGCCATAGTTCAGTGAAATCCCAATTCACTATTTTCTAGGCTTTATCAGACATTAACCAGCATTTTGCTGTCTGTTGTAAGACTTAAGGGAGACTAAAATAGATCTATTTCTGACTTATTTGTCTTCATCAGTTAGCCACACCTTCTATATATCTCTGTATCTCTATCTATCTATCTATCTATCTATCTATCTATCTATCTATCTATCTAGGAGCATACTGCTTCCCTTTCACCTTTCAGCTCCAATCCAGGAGTCCTCAAGCAGTCACATTCACGACAAACCATTTTATACCAAATTAACCCTGTCTTATATTTTTTTGAACCCTGAAATAAGTGCTTGGCCTTATTGCCATGCGCTCAAATGCCCGATTGGTCTTATTATCAGGAGATGTCTTATTCTGGGGGAAACAGGGTGTGTGTGTATGTGTGTGTGTGTGTGTGTGTGTACACACACACACACACACACACACACACACACACACACAAGGTGTTATGTATCCAAACTACTTCTTGATAGGTGTCAGATCTGCCCCAACGTAGACATTTAGGAAAGAAAAACCCTCGATTCCCTTTGATTGAAGTGATAGGTTCTTTTCACTTAAGTTAAGTGGGTACAGTGCAAGTAAAGCTAGATCTGTATATTCCCACACAAAAGTTCCACTTTCCCCCCTTTCCCTGACCCTTGATCAGTCCACCTGGGTCCAGTAGTATGCCTTTTTGATGTTTTGGAAGCGGCTCAGATGTTTGGTGCCTCTCACTGCAGTTTCACTTTCACTTCCCAGGTCAGGTGTCCTTGGCATCTGGTTTAATCTGGTTTGGCACCTCTGGTTCTTGTCAACATGTCTCCCCTCCTGCCGTTTGTCTTCTCATTTCCAGCCCCACACGTTACTGCCCCAAATTCCCCCCTCTTCCCTTGCGATTTAGGGCAGGAGGCCAGTGAAGCGAAGAAGCTGAAGATGGCAGAGCTGACAAAAGAACATTATTTGATCAATTGTTTTCTTCATGCCTAATCACAGACTGCACATTATTGAGATTTTTAATGTACACTCCACGCCTCATCTTCCTATTTCTTCTATTGCCATCTTTGAATGTGATTATGGAGCGTTACTGGAAAGCTACAGGATTAAAAACATCGTAGTAAAATGACTTCAAGGCAACATATTAATCCCAATGATTGCCGGTGTGGTGTGCTATAAAAGTTTAGATGTGTGCACTTCAAGTGCTCTGCAAATAAAATCCAACACTAATATTTAAACAGTACTTGAATTTAGGCCACATTAATTTGATATAAATCCATAATTACTTGCATTAGAATTAAAAGGTATCTAGTGTGAGCTTTAAAATTCACTACCATGCTACAATTTTTTTTTTAAATAGCACAGTACATTAAATTAATAGAAACTGCATACACCGGTGGAAAACCTATTTTGTGATTTTTAATGATTGATATTAATGTTATGTAATTACCATTTAAGTAAATGAGGACTATATAGCTATCAGGACAGCATAATTTTATCTCCAACAATTCTCAGGTATAGTAGAAAAAACAAAACAAAATGAAAGTAGGCAGCATGATTCATAGACTCTAAAATCCAAAACATTTTATTTTAATTTGTAATTTCTTTTAAAGGTATTTATTGTTTTGCCATTTATTTAGTGGATTAATAAAGAAACACGCACATTACTGTGTTATCTCTTTGTAAGTTTTGGTAATTCGTTATGAATATAATTGGCTTCCTTTGAAATTCAATTTATATTATTTATCTGTTACATTTACATGGGTGTCCACTGCAAAAAAATGTGGCTCTGGATGTTTTACAAGAAAAATAAATCAAGATAAATCAATAATTAATCTCTCTTTTATTTTATGCATTTATTTGTTTTTCCTGGGAATGTTTTACCATGCTCTTTTTGTTGTTTTCACCATATAAAAAAGGTACAAATTGTTGTCTTAAAAGGAAGAATTGCAGCATTAGAAATAAGAGCTTCTGCCGAAAATAATATATCACAGCAGCAAATGAATTTGAGAAAGGAATTTGATATAACTGGTCCATTCGTAGAATTCAGAACATTACATGCTGTCGGTATCAATATTGCGGACAGATTTCATGTGACAGACTATATATCACTGCTACTAAGTTGAAGCCAAGGAGACTTGAAAATAATATTCTTTGCAATTTAAGATAATAGTTGTGGTTTGATTTTATCCATAAAATGCTTGGGTAAAAGAGATTATTTAATTGCTCATTTCTTGGGATAGACATTCACAATTTTTATAGTGATGTTACCAGCAGTTTTACCAAGTAACATACAGGTTACTGGAGCAGTTGTGATTGAATATATCAAGATAACAAATGTTTTACATAATTTAATTATAACACCATGTCATAATGGTTAAGATGGTATTGAACCATTATATTGGAGCAATTTGGTCTAGTTAAGTTTGTGTTTGGGATGCACATCCAAGTTACGGACTCTTTTTTGTTAGATGTAAAACACTGAAGGTCCTGAATTGTCTGCATTTTTACTACGATGAAACAGAATCACAAATGTACACAGGATAGATAGAATCCTAACCATATTGTTTGTAATTCAGCCAGTTCCAATTTCCATCAGACTTTGCCAGATGCATGCAGGTACAAAGTTGAAAAATGAGTGTTTAATATTTGTTTATGCTTTATGGCACCATACGTTGAAAAGGTGTAATTTGTTCGAATTGCTTTATGAAATACTAGGACCTAAAAGAGAAGGAGAATGAAGAACTCGATATTCAGTTGAAAGTATTTGATGAAAACAAAGAGGAAGATTCAATTGAAATGGCCCATCGTCTCAATGACATCAAAGTGGAAATGGAATATCCTTTTTTAAATAATAATAATAATAATAATAATAATAATAATAATAATAATAATATACATATACTGTTTTCCTTAGAACTGAATGATAACAGAAAACGAGACAGCCTTGAAAACAGAATAAGTTTCATTAGGGTTCAGGAAAAGGTACTGTTTGGCAAATAAATTAGGAATGGTGATAATTATTTAGGATGTGTGGGTCAATGAAAAGTATTGTTAAATGAGTCACACATGAACTTATATTGAACTTCCTTCTTTGTACTAAACAGATTATTGGATTTATATTAGTGTTTTGGGGGGGAACTAAAACAAACCTTGTGATTTTGTTTAAGTCACACAATAACTTTACACTGTGTTATTTGTTTTAATTGTTTTAATACATTTTAAAAACCTAAAGAGCTAGAGGCATTGTTAATTTTGGACAATCCTAACATTCAGTGGTGGTATTCAGCCAGTTCTATACGGTTTGGGTGAACCGGTAGCCCTGCCCACCCATGGGGACATCATGACATCCCATTTTTCCACGTTTTTGAGGCTCTGCGCATACGCCCACACACACATTTGCAAACCGGTAGGGAAGGTAAGCGAATACCACCCCTGCTCACATTGAAAAATGAATTAGCAGTAAGTACAAAGATCACTACATTAAACATTTAAATATCACAATTTTAAATAATAGCATTTAAAGCTTTACTTTAACTTTTTGTTGTAGCAATAAATGGAGGTTTAAACTACGTGTCCCAGTTTAGGGTTCAAAGTTAGTGTCCAATGTTTGATAACACCGTAGAAGAATTTTCAAGACTCTTTTCAGTCTTGAGTTTCAAAAAAACGCAGTAATTATGATTTCTCTATTCTGACATTTCCTTAATGGTCCTTTTACCGATGTGAATGAAGTTTACCACTTGCTGTATAATATGTTGAAAGAAACAACATCAGAAAACTACTTTCTATCAATTTTACAGCATTTTTTACTCATTAGGAATGATTATTATGTACGGTAAGTCAGCTAGTTTGCTTTTCATGTTTCAATGGCGCATCTCGTTGCTTAATTAAATGAGCATGTCATGTAGTAAAGGGAACGTGAATTCCCACCTTTTCAGGTAGAAACTATCAAAGAGACATTAGAAAACTAATTGCTAACACTTTCGAGTTGATTCCATTACAGAGGAGAGGTTCCCACTGTATTTTGGTGGGAGATAAAACAGACCTTTTGTTTAAATCACCAGATAACTTTAGGCATGAGGGCTGCTCTGGTGTGAGTAAGCTTAAATTTGAATGATCTTATCCCGATCGTTAGATAGATTACCATATTTTTCAGAGTATATGACGCACCGGAATATAAGACGCACCAAGATTTCGAAGAGGTAAACAAGAAAAAAAAAAAGGTTTTGCCCTCCCCGGCTCCCAGGAGCACTCTGCAGGTCTTCCAAACCCTCTGTGCATCTCATTTTTGTGAAAAATGGGCCCATTTTTTCTGGCCCCGTTTCTGCAAAAAATGGGCCTGTTTTTGGTGAAAACGGGACACGCGGTGTTTCAGGAGGCCAAAAATGGCTGTATTCGGTGTATAAGACGGACCAATATTTCCACCCTCTTTTAGGGGGCGAAAGGTGTGTTTTATACACTGAAAAGTACGATACAACAGTAGTTCTCAACCTGTGGCTTGTGGGCTCCTGAGGGGCCACCATGTTGTCACAGGAGGGGCCACAAAGGCTTGAACAAATGGTATGTTTTAAATCTTCAATTAAGACTTGAGGATACATAGCCATCGTCCATGTCTACACAAAGTATTTAAAGGGAGTCATGGTGAAGAAAAGACAGAACCACTGGATTACATGGCTTATTTTTTTTTCTTTTTTTAAGTGTGCCTATGGATTCTTTATTACAAAAAATAATTGCCTTTTATTTTTCACACCAGCCCTCAGTATTACAAGATAATAGAAGAATGTGTTTCACAGATAGTGTTGCACTGTAGTGGTATGGATCCTGACTTCAAATGTAGAGGAAGATTGGATGTAGACTTCACACATCTTGTGGGTAAGTGCATCTTATTTTTATTTTACCATGTTTTCAATGTTTTTCATGATTATGAATTACTATTTTTTCCCATGAAGTCAGTTTTTCTACTGTAAGAACTGGGCCATGGAAAGTTAAAAGTCATTTTACCGCATAGCTCCCAGTGACCGGTAAGATCCCACAGAGTTGGTCTCCTCCGGGTCCCGTCAGCTAAACAATGCCGGCTGGCGGGCCCGTGGGGGGCCTTCTCTGTGGCTGCCCCAGCTCTTGGAACCAGTTACCTCCTGAGGTCCAGACCGCCCCCACCCTACTGGCCTTCTGAAAAGCTGTGAAGACCTGGCTTTTCCGGCAGGCCTGGGGCCGTTGATCTCGCTTTGCGATCTGGCGAGATCCGGCCATGAATGGTGTGAATGCGTTCTAAGGTTCTTAATGTTTTTTAATCTTTTAAATGTTTTTAGAATGGTTTTTTTAAATGTATTGTGAGCCGCCCTGAGTCTCTGGAGAGGGGCGGCATATAAATTTAATAAATAAAATAATAATAAATAATAATTTTGATTTCGGTGGAAGTACGGTTAAAAATAAAATAGTTTCTTGTTGAAATTGCTGAGATCAAGAGATCCTTCTTTGTTCTTCCGTTTTTAGGGAAATTTATATACAGCATGTGCCAAAGATTCAGTGCTTTGTGATCTCTTGTTTATTTTGTCAATGATCATTCCTACATTTCCATTTAGAAATTCTACTGATTTTGGAGCAAGGAGATTAGAAATGAATGCATTATCCCTAGAATTGTAGGAATAATCATTATGTATTTAGCATTTCTCAGCTGGAATACTATTTTGATTTATGTTAATTTTATTCCCGAGTAATTTTAGAAATGTAAAATATAAAAATAGGCATAGATGATTTTTTTAAAATAAAAATTTTAGTGGGTAAAGAGAAGATTTCATATCCATCTCTCTCCCTCTCTCTCTCTCTTTCTCTCTCTAGTATATATAAAATTGGATACATAGTTTAGATAGGTAGATATCTATCTATCTATCTATCTATCTATCTATCTATCTATCTATCTATCTATCTATCTATCTATCTATCTATCATCTATCTATCTTTATCTCTATCTATCTCTATTTATATCTGTCTATCTCTATTTATCTATATCTGTCTATCTATCCATCTATCTATCATCTATCAATTCCTTTATAGAACAAATTTCAGGCTATTCAACAACATTATTTTTTAACCCGGATAATTTTAAAAACAGTTTGCTTCTTGTCAGAAGCAATGGTATCTCTGTATGATATTGTATATCTTCGATTTTTAAAATTGTAGTTAAGTTGGGCCCTATTATTTGCCTCCTTTCAGACAGCTGTGTGAACAAAGCAAAAGTTGAAGAAAGTGAGCAAAAAGCTGCAGATTTTTCCAAAAAGGTAGGCACCAAACAATTTGTCATATTGCAGCCTTTGTGAAACTTTCATTGTTATATTTCTACATATATTTTTTTAAAGGTCTTCGGTTTCAGAATTAAATGTTATTATGCTTATATATGAAAACAGCAAGACCCAGACATAATAAAAATATACTTAGATATAATTAGTGATTATTTGAAACCTTTGAACTATGGTGCTGGAGAAGACTCCTGCGAGTCCCTTGGACCGCAAGGCGATCAACTAGAGGAGATCAACCCTGAATGCTCTTTGGAAGGCCAGATCCTGAAGATGGAACTCAAATACTGTGGCCACCTAATGAGAAGGAAGGACTCCCTGGAGAAGAGCCTAATGCTGGGAACGGTTGAGGGCAAAAGAAGAAGGGGACGACAGAGAACGAGGTGGCTGGATGGAGTCACTGAAGCAGTCGGCGTGAGCTTAAATGGACTCCAGAGGATGGTAGAGTATAGGAAGGCCTGGAGGAACGTAGTGCATGGGGTCGTGATGGGTTGGACATGACTTCGCAACTAACAACAACAATTATTTCAATGAATAATCAAAAGAGCCCTCTGCAACCAGGCAGAACTGAGCTTAGAAATTGGTGGATTTGGTGTGGTAGAAAAAGCTTTTGTCTGTCTCTGGCAGTTTGCCCTATCTTAGCTTAAAATCCTTAAATTGCTCTTATAGGCAACACATTATCTCCTGCTCTGTCTTATGTGGAAACAGCTTTAGCCAATTCATCTCTAAGATAAACATTCTTGTTTACCTCCAACCTAATTCTATGGACAACCAGAGGTTATAAGTTGACCCAAGAATTTTTAACTATGCCCTACTGGTGTTTCTCGTCTCCGGTTAATCATTTGGTACAATTCCACATATATTAATTAGAATTAAATAATTCTGCCCGTTGTTTCATCTAATAGAAATTTATAATGGGAAATAGCCTACTGTTACTTCGTAGATATATGAAGGAAACTCTCTCAAGATACTTGAGAAATGAACTTGACAAATGAATTTGATATAACTGGTCCATTCGAAAGAATTCAGAACATTACATGCTGTCAGTATCCATATTGTGGACAGATTTCATGTGGCAGACAATATATCACTGCTACTAAAGAGACTTGAAAATAGTATTCTTTGCAATTTAAGATAATAGTTGTGGTTTGATTTTATACATAAAATGCTTGGGTAAAAAGAGATTATTTAATTGCTCATTTCTTGGGATAGACATTCACAATTTTTATAGTGATATTACCAGCAGTTTTACTAAATAACATATTTGGAGCAGTTTTGGTTGAATAGATCAAGATGGTTATAATGGGAAATGGGAAATAGCCAGTGGTGAAATCCAAATTTTTTTAATTCCAGTTCTGTAGGCATGACTTGGTGGGTGTGGTGTGGCTTGGTGGGTGTGGCTTGGTGGGCGTGGCAGGGGAAGGATACTGCAAAATCCCCATTCCCTACCCACTTCAGGGGAAGGATATTGCAAAATCTTCTTTTCCACCCCACTATGGGGCAAGCCAGAGGTGGTATTTGCCGGTTCTCCGAACTGCTCAAAATTTCCACTACCGGTTCTCCAGAACCTGTCAGAACCTGCTGGATTTAACCCCTGGAAATAGCCTACTGTTACCTCATAGGTATATGAAGGAAACTATCTCAAGATACTTTGTGCTATGACTACCTTCCATTCCACCGCACCAGCGTTATTTTAAGTAGTCCACAAAGCCAGACACATTTCTGTAGCTCATTCTTATATAGCAATATTAAGTTTGGACCAAGATGAATGATTATTTCCATTCTGGTGATCATTGCAGTTTGATGAAGAATTCACAGCTCGTCAGGAGGCGCAAGCTGAGCTTCAAATGCGTGAGGAGAAAATCCGACAACTTGAAGCTGAAATCCAGCAGTTGCGAACCCAGGTATAACATAAATTAGTGGCATCTTTATCCCATTGAAATGACTTTTGGTTTGAAGGAGAGATAGGATGCTAATTGCTAAGTATAGCTGGAATAAGAAAGGTTACCGATAGTGCTCGGCTTACATTTGTTTAGTGCAGGAGTGCCAAATTCAAAGGCTGTAGACTGTATACAGCCCGTGGGGTGCTTAGATCTGGCCTCCAGACCGCCCTGGAAACAACGATGGACTAGTCCGTGGTGCCTCTGCCAGTGAAAACTGAACTCGGGAGGGCTGCACGTGCCCCCCCCCCCGAGCTCCGTTTTTGCTGATAGAGGGCTGCAGGAGGTTGTTGCGGTCAAAAACAGAACTCAGGGGAGTCCAAAGCCGAAAATGGACTTTGAGCTGGCCACGCCCACCCTGGCCATGCTCCCTGGCCCCGCCGAGGTCAAACACAACCCTGATGCGGCCCTCAATGAAATCTAGTTTGACACCTCTGGTTTAGTGATTGTTCAAAATACGACGACACTTGAAAAAAAAGTAATTTATGACCAGTTTTCACACTTACAACCATTGCTTTGATCATGTGACCTCAGGGTCACATGATCAAAATTTGGCATGCCTTTATGACAGTTGGATTGTCCTGGGGTCACGTGATTCCCATTTGCAATCTTCCCAGCTTGGCTTCTGAGAAACAAAATCAATGGGGGAAGTCAGATTTATTTAACAACCACATGATTCACTTAACAATTATGGCCAGAAGGTCATGGAATGAGGCCCAACTCATTTAACAATTGCTTTGATAAACAATACAACTTCTCAACGGTGGTCGCAAGTCAAAAACTACCTGCATTTCATTGCTTCAACATAAGCCTAGATGCGAGTTTCTTCCACTCAGATGTAAATATAAACGTCAAAAATGAAATTAAAATACAAAAACGATTTGGGTTTATTTAAAATCTGATTATTGCATGTAAATGCTTATCAAACATGCCTAGAACAACATAATGTTATTAATACCATTGATACTTTGGATTAAGTATCAGTAGAGGCTCAACATTGTTACACAGAGGTGTATTGAAAGTTGAAGGGTTTAAAAGAAAGCAGAACAAATTTAATCTTTAATTGTAAGTTTTTAGGCACTTTAAAAACAAAGAGTGAACATTTAGCTCTTTGATAATCTGTCACTGGAAGTTCATTTGTTCTGGCTGATTTTATTCTAATGAATACATTTTCATGTATTCATGTATTGAAAGTAAAAGGAAGACATGCTGGTGTTTTGTTCAGGGCCTCATAATATCTTACGAAATTGCTAAAAGCTTATGTTGGTTTAGTGAAACAAATTTTCCTCCTGTAACCGTGTTAGTAGAAATGACGATTATTACGAATCAGAGCTAAGAGTAGGATCTTCATCCTAATTTTCCTGCTTATACAGTTAACGTAATTTTTTAAAAAATAGATTTTCTGAGGTACTGAATATTTAAATATGGGAAGACTTAGGATGATAATTCAATTTCTGCCCGTTGGCTTTTTTTCTAACACTTCTATGAATACCACGTAGATAAAAAAAATATATCCTTAAAACCCTTGGAATGTAGTTTTGTTAATGGACCTTTTTCCTTGTTTTCCAATATCGCTTCATTAATTCTCTTGATCTGTTCGAACGTGGAGGAACTCTTATAAAAGTTACACGTGCCACTGGCTGCTTCTTGCTGTAATGAAGTGCTAAAAATACCTGTTAAATAACTGAACTGATTTGAAAATGATTCCCCCCCCCTTCTGACCATATTCTCATTTATTATGGATTTCATCTTTTGAAAACCCTTGAATAAAATGTAACAGACTGTAATTGGGTGAACTTGCATAAGGACTGGGAGATATTGAGAATGAGGAGATCTGTAAAAGAGAATATTTGTAGCTCAGGATTGATATGAGGGGTTGATATGAGGGTTTTTTTCTTACAGACGTTTCCTAGTTTGATGATGTCAAACTAGAGCCTTGGTGGCGCAGCAGACTAAAGTGCTGTTAACTAGCACCAGCTGCCTGCAATTACTGCAAGTTCGAATCTCACCAGGCTCAAGGTTGACTCAGCCTTCCATCCTTCCGAGGAAGGTAAAATGAGGACCCGGATTGTGGGGGCAATAAGCTGAATTTGTATAAAAAAGAACACCGCTTGGGAGCAGGTATATACAAAAGTATGAAGGCTATTGCTTAACGCATTGTAAGCTGCCCTGAGTCTCCGGAGAAGGGCGGCATATAAATTGAATGAATGAATGAATGAATGAATGAATGAATGAATGAATGAATGTATGTATGTATGTATGTATGTATGTATGTATGTATGTATGTATGTTAGTTACCTAGTTTGGTTAATGGAACGTCTTCAAGAAAACAACCGAGCTCAGAGAAAAGACCTCTCAGGATGAAAAAATTATCTAATTGCCCTTTAATTGCAAAATGATTGATGTACTTTTAATAGCGTGTGGTTGACATTTTTTTTTTTTTATCATCCTGTTTCCTAATTCCAAAACTTTCTCTTGTAGGGTTCTGCATCTTCAAGTGGTGGGCCTCCTCCTCCTCCGCCGCCCCCACCCCCTCCTCCACTGCCAGGTCATTTGGTTTCTGTTGCCCCTGCACCTCCTCCTCCTCCTCCACTACCTGGAGTTCTGCCTCCTCCACCTCCACCACTTCCTCCTCCACCTATGTTCAGTGGTCCACCAATGCCACCACCTCCTCCTTTCGGGGGGATACCTTCTGTCGTAACCGCACCAGTGCTGCCTTTTGGGATGAAGCCAAAGAAGAAATACAACCCAGATGTAACTATGAAGAGAATCAACTGGGCCAAGGTATCTCTTCATCAAACATCCTGAATGTTTGCCCTCTGTTTTTTTTCTCTAATGTCAAACAGAATACAGGCAGTCCTTGAGTGTAATGATCGCTTGCTCCGTTAGGATGGCACTAAGCTAGGGGTGGGCAACTGTGGCCCTTTTACAACCTGTGGACTTCAATTCCCAGAATTCCTGAGGCAGCTTGGCTGTCTCCGGAATTCTGGGAGTTGAAGTCCACAGGTTGTAAAAGGGCCATAGTTGCCCACCCCTGCACTAAGCAAATGACTTAAGATAATTCCTCAAATGTTGCACACAAGAAAGCACCTTCTTCCCCCAGCCTTCCTGCACTTGCATACACATTTATTTATTTATTTATTTATTTATTATATTATATTATATTATATTATATTATATTATATTATATTATATATTATATTATATTATATTATATTATATTATTATATTATATTATATTATATTATATTTATATTATATTATATTATATTATATTATATTATATTATATTATATTATATTATATTTCTATACCGCCTTTCTCCCGTAGGACTCAAGGCAGTGTACAGTCAAGAAAAATATAGACACACAAACATCATAAAATTGCTAATTAAAATTATTACTTAGTTTGGTCAATTAAATAAAACCCAGAATTAGATAACATTTAAAAAAATCATTCACATAGTCATATGTTTAGCCCCGCCTGTTGGGTCTTGAGGGCACGGTGGAAAGCACGGAGATCAGGGATATTCCGTATCTCCGGGGGCAGTTCATTCCAAAGGGTTGGAGACCTCACAGAGAAGGCCCTCCCCCTGGGAGTCGCCAGTCGGCATAATTTGACTGATGGTACCCTGAGTAGTCCCTCCCTGTGAGAACGAACAGGTTGGTGGGAGGCTATTGGTGGCAAAAGACGGTCTCGTAGGTACCCAGGTCCTAAGCCATGGAGCGCTTTAAAGGTGATAATTAACACCTGAACGTGGACACAACCATTTTCCTGCCTTTCCTGGCCTCCCTATGCTCACTTACATGGATTTAACCTGGAGGGGTTTTTTTTGTTCTTCCTTCCCACATACTTGCATGTAGCCTGCGCTGAGCCTCCCAGGGTCTCATCCACCCTCCCACCAGGGTCACTATTCAGCAGGTTCTGACAGGTTCTGGAGAACCGGTAGCGGAAATTTTGAGTAGTTCGGAGAACTGGCAAATACCTCCTCTGGCTGGGCCCAGAGTGAGGTGGGAATGGAGATTTTGTAATATCCTTCCCACAGGAGTGGGGAGGGAATGGGGATTTTGCAGTATCCCCCCCCAGGAGTGGGGAGGGAATGGGGATTTTGCAGTATCCTTCCCCCAGGAGTGGGGAGGAAATGGGAATTTTGCAGGATCCTTCCCCCAGGAGTGGGGAGGGAATGGGGATTTTGCAGTATCCCCCCCCCAGGAGTGAGGAGGGAATGGAGATTTTGCAGTATCCTTTCCCCTGCCACACCCACCAAGCCACACCCCACATACTAAGCCACGCCCACAGAACCAGTATTAAAAAAAATTGAATTCCACCACTGCCTCCCACCTAACTCTGCAGCACCCCTGCGCTCCTTACCAGGGATTCTTTCTGTTTTCCGGAAAAACAACCCACATGTCTTGTGGTTACAGCGACAAACAGGACTATCTGAATTGCCGTCACTAAGCAACACATGCAACATCCTGCTTAATGTCTTCATCACTTAATGACGACAATCCTGGTCATAATTGTAACTTGAGGACAATCTGTAATGCTTTCCTGCCGATGAATTAATTTTGAATACACAAAAGAAGCTAATTGTTTTTCCGTGAATCGTTAATATATTAAACTTTAATCCTTGTCAGTGGTTGGGGATATTCTCAAGAAATATTGAAGCTCTTACTTAGAGTTGTGACAGACATGGTCTCTGTTTTATATATCTCTATAAATATAATCTACCATTTTCCCTCTGGTGTGAAAGGTAACAGATTCAATAACATATTTTTTAAAAACTCATCATAAACCACTGTGGTCGTAAAGTAGTTTATAATATCATCTTTAATAGAAAAATGTTTCAGGCAGACTAAAGTGGTCTGCTGGGGCAGGAGATGTAATTTTGGTTTTAATAATCTTGATTTCTCCGTGGGGTGAAAGTGGGGGATACCGTAATACATTTTGCAGATGTTTACATGTATATGGAGAATAAAATCCAAGAACAAAATAGATATTGCAAGGCATCTGGTTTTTTTGGGTGGGTGGCAGGGTGGGTTTTTATTAATAATTTACTCTTCTGCGCTCTGCTTGGATGATTTAAGTTGCATCTATAAATCAGTTTATTATTATCTATTCTGCTGTGGTAGATGAGCAGTAGGAAGCTCATAATATGTACACAATATTATGTAAGTTGAGGACAGGAACATCTGAAGATTATCCCGTTCGAAGGTGTATATTTATTATGAATGCACAGCACAATACAACACTTTATTGTCAGTCAGCCACACTTGCTACCCAGTTCTATAAACACTACTTAATATTATCCTATTGGACATGAGCTGGAAAGTGTGTTTGGATAGATCTTCATTTTCGCAACATAATGTCCAATATAGCAACCTAATCCCAATGGATTAGATTTTGAGAAGTGAACGGGAAGGAATATTTACTTATTTTATTTGTACTTCATATTTCTGGACTACCCGTCTCCCTCAGAAAAGGACTCTGGACTGTATACAATAAAACTGTGAAAAGTAGAAGAGTACATACGTAAATTAAAACGTTAGAGTTAACATTTTTGAGGTAATTTTTTTTAAAATGGAGCCCAGGATAATTAAAGACCCGGTTTGTGGGGGAAATAAGCTGACTTTGTATAAAAAAAAACACCGCTTGGGGGGGCCCGAAAGTACCTCCTCTGGCTGGGCCCAGAGTGAGGTGGGAATGGAGATTTTGTAATATCCTTCCCCCAGGAGTGGGGAGGGAATGGGGATACAAAAGTATGAAGGCTATTGCTTAACGCATTGTAAGCCGCCCTGAGTCTCCGGAAAAGGGCGGCATATAAATCAAACCAATCAATCAATCAATCAATCAATCAATAAATCTGGTTAAAAATTGGTTGACGGAGGCAAAGGTGAGGGGGTGGCCTCTCATGGCCCCAAACTAACCCCACAACTGAACACTCGTTTGGGTTCCCCACGCAAACCTCCAGAGCCATGTTTTGAGTTCTTTTCAGAAGACCAGGAGGATGGGAGCCTGCCTCACCTCTGAGGGAACAATATTCCATAGGATGGAGACAATAGTAGAGAAGGTTCTCTTCCTAGCTCCCAAGAATGTAATAATAGCAATAGCAATAGCAATAGCACTTAGGTACCGCTTATATATTGTTTTACAGGGCTTTACAGCCCTCTCTAAGCAGTTTACAGAGTCAGCATATTGCCCCCAACAATCTGGCTCATCATTTTACCTACCTCGGAAGGATGGAAGGCTGAGTCAACCTTGAGCCGGTTAGGATTGAACTGCTGGCAGTGGGCAGAATTATACTGCAATGCTGCATTCTAACCACTGGGAGGGAGGGAGGGAGGGAGGGAGGGAGGAAGGAAGGAAGGAAGGAAGGAAGGAAGGAAGGAAGGAAGGAAGGAAGGAACAAATTGCAGGAAGCCGGCAGCCAACAGAAGTAATCTGCAGAAATGCACTCTAACCACTGCTCCACTGTGGCTCAGTGGCTCAATAATAATAGTAAGGTCCTTACAACAAACTCAGTTTTAATTTTGTGGATTCTGCAAAGGAAAGAAGAGTTGGATTCTTTTCCATACTTCCTCTTAAAACACACATGTACTAAAATAAGTCTTTTGTGTTAAAAGAGTTATGTCCATGAATGGCAAGAATGCACAAGTACATTGCCATTGTCTTATAAGAGCCCTGGTGGCACAGTGGTTAGAGTGCAGTACTGCAGTTTAGTTCTGCTGACTGCTAGCTGCCTGCAATTTGGCAGTTCAAATCTCACCAGGCTCAAGGTTGACTCTGCCTTCCATCCTTCAGAGGTAGGTAAAATGAAAATGCAGATTGTTGGGAGCAATATGCTGACTCTGTAAACTACTTAGAGAGGGCTGTAAAAGCACTGCAAAGCGGTATATAAGTCTAAGTGCTATTGCTTTTATTATTATTTTTACCTCCTTGTCTATATTTCTAGGATTTCTTGCTCTGCCAAGTAGTAACTAAGTCCTGTTCAGCTTTCAAGGTCATCTTGATACCATCAGCTGGGTAATCCAAATATTTCACATGTCATCCAAGAAGTTTCTTCAGTTCAGAACTGAAGAAGCTTCTTGAATGAGAAGCAAAATGTTTTCAAAGAAAAAAAAACGCCTTTTGGAAAAAGCGTCTGTGGGACAACTATGACCTGGATGATTGAGAATCTCCATAGATATCATTTAGGTACAACATAAGATGGTATCTTAGTCTTTCTGAAGAAATTTTTACTATCATTTTTTGAGAAAATGCATGTTTTTGTTCCTCTTTTTTAAAAAAACGTCTTGTTTCTCATTTGATGGAGAAGATTGAAAACTCCAGTCTCTGAATAATTTTGCTTTGATTGCAGGATGTGCAGATGTAATAATCTGCCACTGTCATGATTTGTGGAGGGTTAAGTGATTTAAATTGATAGTCTGTAATTAGGTTCATTTTCATTGCAGGTTGAACCGCACGAGATACAAGAGCACTGTTTTTGGGTGAAAGCTAAGGATGAAAAATTTGAAAATCCAGATCTGTTTGCCAAACTGGCGCTCACTTTTGCCACACAGATGAAGGGTAATTATTTCTCTTTTTCTTGAATTGCCATAATGGACATGTGGATTGATACTAATATTTGTATTAGTGATGCCGTAGAGATCGGTGCAAAAACATATAATAATACGACCAGTGGTGAAATCCAAATTTTTTTACTGACGGTTCTGTGGGCATGGCTTGGTGGGTGTGGCTTGGTGGGTGTGGAAGGGGAAGGATACTGCAAAATCTCCATTCCCACCCTACTCCAGGGGAAGGATACTGCAAAATCCCCATTCCCTCCCCACTCCAGGGGAAGATACTGCAAAATCCCCATTCTCTCCCCACTCCTGTGGGAAGGATATTGCAAAATCTGCATTCCCACCCCACTCTGGGGCCAGTCAGAGGTGGTATTTGCTGGTTCTCTGAACTACACAAAATTTCCGCTATTGGTTCTCCAGAACCTGTCAGAACCTGCTGGATTTCACCCCTGAGGATGACCATGTAATCTACTTTTTAGATGTAGGAGATAACACAGAAGATAAAAAGGAACATGACATTAAAAAATACATACTGTTTATGAGCTGGGAAGGAGGCAGTTGAAATAAAAGAGAAAACTGGAATCATTTTGATGGTTTTGGTATCATAGGCCTATAAAAAAACAAAAACAAAATAGAATCAGAGTGATTTAAACCTGGGTGGATAAAAATAAATGATTTAAGAAAAATGCAGTTTTTTTTAATTTAAATTGGATTTTTAAAAATTTAAATCAGATTTTTTTTTATTTTTATCAAATTTATTTTAATAAAATGCTTTTGGAGTAAAAATCTACCTAAAGGTAGTTTTCTGTTTAAGTTACATTAATAGTTTAGTTTATTCAGCATGAAATGGAGCTTAGTTATGTAGCATGAGATTGTATATATATATATGCTGCAATATTTACCTTTTTTGTAAACTCATTCAATGAATCCAAGCTCTGCAAACTGAGATAGCACACACTGCATTGATGCATTCACACAATTTCACAGTAACCAAGAGGTAGATCATAAAACAAAGTTTCTCCCATTGTTTTGCAAATCTACGTACACTACAAACTGTATGATTGTTTGAAGAGAAATGCATCTATACCACCAGGCTCTAAGTGTGAGGAGGAAGGGCAAGCAGTAAAAATGAAAGTGAAACCTTCTGAGCAGCTTATAAATATAATATTAAAGAGCACCTGTCATTTCAGATCCATCATGGCAGTGCCTGTTAGCGGGCATCCACTCACCTGCTGCTCGCCACGTCCCTCACCTTGTTGTGTCACTGCTGCATCATCAGCCTTCCCATTAAAGTGAATGGGATTGTTGGTGAGTCAGCAGCGGGTCAGAAGAGGAGCCGCTGTGGGACAGAGATGACAGTTGCTCTTTAAAAGTTATGTGTCAGACTTCGATGCTATCTCAAAATAAATGAATTTCCAAACTGCCAATCTTTAAGGAAATCTTCTCTTTATTCGAGTACAGCAACCGGATCATGACTTGTGCGGACAAGACTGACCTTTTGCCCCCCAATCCCTCCCTTTCCGATCCCCAATTCTCTGCTTCTCATTGGCTATCTTCCAAGTCATTCTCCTGACTTCTTGTCTCGTCATTTCACAGGAATGTCCCCCCCCCTTCATTTCCACGGAGACCGAGCTTCAAAGGGATTTAGCAGGCAAAAGTCCAGGGCTTATCTTCCTTTCTATGTCAGCGGTGAGACGCTGACATCATGATTTAAATCGAGTTGATTTAAATCAAATCCACCCTGATTTAAACTGAGGGAGGCCATGGTGTAGAAAGGTTTCTTCCTAAGACATAAACAATGAAGGACATATTACATTCTTCCAGACCAGGATGAAATGCTAAACAATTTTATAGTAGCTAATGGAATGAAGCTTTTATTTCCCCACTCTTGAATGGAAAACATTAAGTTTTTCCTTTGTTAACTCAGTCTATGTTTTCTCGATGTAAAGATATAGAAGATACAGACTTTAAAACCTTACCGAGTAGCCTAAAATATGAAGTACATACCGTATTTTTCAGAGTATAAGACGCACCTTTTCCCTCCCTTTAAAGAGGCTGAAAATTTGGGTGTGTCTTATACTCCGAATGTAGCTTTTTCGAAGCTCTTTTTTTCAGCCCATACGAGGTGCTAATGAAGTGCTAGCGAGTGATCTTCCCAGCTTTGCCTGCTCCCTCGACTCTCCGCTGCGCTTTAACGAGGTGCTAGCGAGTGAAGCGATCTCCATGCTTTGCTCCGACTCTCAGCTGTTCTTTAGAAGCTCTTTTTCAGCCCTAACTAGGCGCTAGCCAAGTAAAGCGATCTCCCCGTGCTTTGCCTGCTTTTCTCATTGCTCCTTCCTCTCAGCTGTGCCTTGGAAGCTGTTTTTTATCCCCAAGCAGGGGATAAAAAAACCAACAAACTAATGTGCTGAAGCTGACCAGACTAAGGACGCTAGCCAGATGGATACCTGGTAGGCAGATTTCCCCCCCCTATTTTCCTCCCCAAAAACTAAGCTGCGTCTTATACTCCGAAAAATACGGTACACTTATTCTAGCTTTTAGAAACAAGACACATTTGTGTGTGTGTAAATAGCACAGCATAAAGAGCCTTGAATTTTCTTTCTTGCCCTAAAGCAAAATACTGGATGTTGCTATTAGGTTTGTTGCGGTGTGATTTTTCCAAGCAAGTTCAGTTAAAAACTCTTGTCTGGAAAGTAGTATATGGAACTGCTTTAGGCTGAGCTATTTATTTGGTAGATGGTGATGATTTGTTATAGCTGTCCCAGCCCAAAAAGACTCTGAGAGACTTACAATATCCAGTATCAAATCTAAGATTAAAAAAACAACAACATTACCACTCAGACTAATGGCCTAGATTAAAAAAACCACAAACAACTGTAACCATAAAGCAAAGAAAAACTACTCACACAACAGGCAAATAAGTCCATGTTTTAGATCACAGCGACATCTCAAGACGTATAGTCAAGGCTATGGTTTTCCCAGTTGCAATGCAATGCACAGCAATGCTGTGAAAGTTGGGCCATAAGGAAGGCTGAGCGCCAAAGAATTGAGGCCTTTGAACAATGGTGCTGGAGAAGACTCCTGCGAGTCCCTTGGACTGCAAGGCGATCCAACCGGTCAGTCCTAAAGGAGATCAACCCTGACTGCTCTTTAGAAGGCCAGATCCTGAATATGAAACTCAAATACTTTGGCCACCTAATGAGAAGGAAGGACTCACTGGAGAAGAGCCTAATGCTGGGAAAGATTGAGGGCAAAAGAAGAAGGGGACGGCAGAGAACGAGGTGGCTGGATGGAGTCACTGAAGCAGTCGGTGTGAGCTTAAATGGACTCCCGGGGATGGTAGAGAACAGGAAGGCCTGGAGGAACGTAGTCCATGGGGTCGCGATGGGTTGGACATGACTTCGCAACTAACAACAACAACAATATCTCAAGAACATTTTGGAACCCTAAGAAATTGGGCATCTTCTCTGGGGAGAATGCTGTTCCAGAGGATAGAGCAGGCATGTCCCCTCCATCCCAGACAAGGTTCAATGGAGGGGACTTGGAGCCCCCACTCGGCCTGAAGGTGCCAGATAGGTACAAGCCATGAGAAACAGACATCTGTTGAAGGGCTTTAGGGGTGACAACCAGCGCCTTGAATTGCACCTAGAAGCCAATGGCAACGACTGCAGCTCATGGAGGAGGGATTACATATGGATATTATATGCTTGCATTGCTGAATTTTGGACCCAAAAATAAATACTGAGAGCAAGACAGTTGGGACAGTTTCTGGTATTTTCAATTCCCCAAGTGTGGTCCACTCCCAGATTCCCACCAGACATACAATAGTGGCCAAAATTGTGGAAACCTTTTGGGAAAAGTGTCTTTGAAGTTTGATGGCTAATAACACCACTTTTTTGGGGGGAGTTTCAAGATAATCATATTCCACTGCTGGAATGGCCTGGGAATATCCCAGACCTTAACCCAATTGGAAATCTATGGAGGCAACTAAAAAAACTTGTTAGTCAGAAGCGACCCAGCAATAAAACCCAGTTAATAGAAATCATCATTCAATCTTGGTTTCACATGATAACAGCTGCAGAACTAAAAGACTTGGTTCACTCCATGGGAACCCGTTGTAAGGCCGTCATTCATGCTAAAGGTTACCCAACTAAGTATTAACTGACATGATAATTTTTGTATATCTCATTTTTTCGATGGTGATCATTTTTGTATATCTCGTTTACGTGTTTCACTTTTCTTCTTTATACTCTAACTGCTATTCTAATAGAAAATCCTTCATAAAAGTTATTGCATTGCATTCTTGGTTAAATTATCTTTCCATTGATATATAATTTTAGGATACTACTCCAAAAAAAAAAAAAAAAGAAGAAGTGATGTTATTAGCTAGTTTTAGAAAATACACTTTTCCCAAAAGATTTCCACAATTTTGGCCACTACTGTACCTTTTAATCAATACAATTGTATATGGCTTTAACTGATTGGTTTCATTAGGGGATGTTATCCTATTATGGTAAACTGCTTTGAGATGCATTTCTAGGAGGAGAGGAAGATTTTCTATTTAAAGATAAAGTGAGAACCATCGATAAAGCCAAATACCTTCACATTTCCCCTCGCAGTTCACCCCAGCTTTATTTCTTCTGTCTCATATCTCCTTCTACCCAATTCCACTTGCAGCTTTGCACAAACATCCAATCCATTTTATTTCTTCCCCTCTTTGTTCCTGTTCGTATGATATAAAAGGACATTATTTAGATATCTTGACATTATTTGTCTCGTTTTACAAAAAGATTCAATTATCAGCGCATGATAATCATAATCATCATTCCATGTTTTTTTTTTTTAAATTTGATTTATATGCCGCCCTTCTCCGAAGACTCAGGGCGGCTTACAATGTGCTCAGCAATAGCCTTCATCCTTTTGTATATTTATACAAAGTCAGCTTATTGCCCCCACAACTGGGTCCTCAATTTACCTACCTTAGAAAGGATGGAAGGCTGAGTCAACCTTGAGCCTTGGCGAGATTCGAACCCTGCAGTAATTGTAGGCAGCTGGTCTTAATAACCAGCTTAATAACAGGGTGCCTTAAACCCCTGTACTACCAAGGCTCATGTGTGTCAAAGTAAAGAATTGAGCTGTGTGAAGATGATAGCTAAGCATCACGAGTTGTAAACGTGGCCATTTGAAAACCTCTCTGGACCCCGGCGGTTAGTTATAAATGGAGAATGAAATGGAATCTATGTTATGTTGTTTGCTATGAGAAAGCACTTTGCAGTGATTCATCCAAAATTCATACAACCCCCCCCCCCCGAATAAATTGATAGGTCCCATTGACTTTATGAGTGACGGGAGGATGGAGTTACCTGCTCTTCCAAAGTATCCTTTCAATCCATCATCTTCACAATTGTAAAAGGCAGTCCATCAATGCCTACTGTGATAGATTTATCATCGCACGCAGAGGCTGAAATCTTCAGGAATCCAAACACTGATGGATGATCAAAGAGAATCTTGATTATGCAAATGCGCTAAACATGTTTTTAACGGCCTGAAACTGTCTTAAATTGAAACCTGGGAAAAGTGTAGGAAGTCCAAAAACATGTGGTTTTTTTTTTTTAAAAAAAATGTCTCCCAAAGTTACTGCCTTTTTTGTATAACAGTGTTATATACTTAACATGATTTGTAGGGTTCACTTGAATCAGTGGTAAAATGTAAAATTTGTTACTACCGGTTCTGTGGGCGTGGCTTGATGGGGGCGTAATGTGACTGGGTGGGCGTGGCCAACTTTTTATTTATTTATTTATTTTTAAAAGCATTTTTTCTACAACCTCTTCGGCCGAAAAGGTTGCAGAAAAAAATGCTTTTAAAAGCCTCTGACGATCAGGCAACTCAGCTGGGATCATCAGAGGCTTTTAAAAGCATTTTTTTTCTACAACCTCTTCGGTTGAAGAAAAAATGCTTTTAAAAGCCTCTGACAATCCCAGCTGAGCCGCACGATCATCAGAGGCTTTTTTAAAAAAAAATTTAAAAGCATTTTTTCAGCCGAAGAGGTTGTAGAAAAAATGCTTTTAAAAGTAAAAAAAAAAAAAAAAGAGCCTCTGATGATCGCGCGACTCATGTGGGGGCACAGGAATTTTTGCTACCGGTTCTCCGAACCACCTGCCGCCATCGCTACCAGATCGGACGATCCTGTCCGAACCGGGAGCATTTCACCCCTGACTTGAATGCTCTTCATTTTTTATTTTTATTTTTTGGTTTTAATTGTGTTGGAGTTTTGTTGTCTGTTACATGCCTTGAAAATGCTCATTGCAGCATTCCTGTTTAGACTTCTTTAATCTAGTGGAAAACTGGCAAATCCTTTGACTGTTTTTCTTGTGCTGTCAAAGTGGAGGGGGAAAAATGAGGTGGTAATTTATTCTTAGCCTACTCCTGAGCTACTGACAAATTTCCAAATACACTTGGAGAACAGTGCTAATCTCTGTCTCGTGGCACAATGGCAATCTACGGTTGCATCGCTGACAAAATAGAGTAAGGTCTGGAAGGGATTTTGGAGGTCATCCAGTCCAAACTTTTGCCCAGTACAAGAATCCATTTTCACAATAAACAGCTATTTGCTGTTTTAAATGCTTTCAGAAAAGAATCCGCCATCTCTTTAGAAAGTCTGCATGTAGGGTTCAAATGAGAAGATTCGGGTTCTTTATTTTTGAAGGCTGCCTTTATAATACCTAGTTTCACAAATAATGGAAATATTTAAACCTTTTATATACAGCTACTGAAATAGAATGTAACCAATGGTGGGTTTCGAATTTTTTTTAATACTGGTTCTGTGGGCATGGCTTGGTGGGCATGGCTTGGTGGGCGTGGCAGGGGAAGGATACTGTAAAATCTCCATTCCCTCCCCAATCCAGAGGAAGGTTACTGCAAAATCCCCATTTCCTCCCGATCAGCTGGGACTTGAGAGGCAGAGAATAGATGGGGGCGGGGCCAATCAGAGGTGGTATTTACCGGTTCTCCGAAGTACGACGACACGAGTGATGTCGAGCTGGCCACTCCCACCCCGGCCCCTTGAGGTCAAACACAACCCTGATGTGGCCCTCAATGAAATTGAGTTTGATATCCCTGAACTAAGTCATATTGCAGAACTGTTTTGAAAACTCTTCATCTTCTGTTTGGAATGTGTGAATATGATTGGCTGTTCATTAAAACTCCCCCATCCATAAGACCCATATTTAAATATGAGCCAGCAGTATGGCAGCAGCTGCCAAAAAAGCCAACACAGTTCTAGGCTGCATAAACAGAGGGATAGAGAATCAAAATCACATGAAGTATTAATACCACTTTATAATGGCTTGGTAAACCCACACTTGGAATAATGCATCCAGTTTTGGTCGTCACGATGTAAAAAAGATGTGGAGACTCTAGAAAGAGTGCAGAGAAGAGCAACAAAGATGATTAGGGGACTGGAGGCTAAAACAAAAGAAGAACGGTTGAAGAAACTGGGTATGTCTAGTTTAATGAGAAGAAGGACTAGGGGAGACATGATAGAAGTCTGCCAATATCTCAGAGGTTGCCACAAAGAAGAGGGAGTCAAACTATTCTCCAAAGCACCTGAGGGCAGAAACAAGAAGCAACGGATGGAAACTAATCAAGGAGAGAAGCAACTTAGAACTAAGGAGAAATTTCCTGACAGTGAGAACTATTAATCAGTGGAACAACTGGCCTCCAGAAGTTGTGAATGCTCCAACACTGGAGGTTTTTAAGATGTTGGATAACCATTTGTCTGAAGTGGTGTAGGGTTTCCTGCCTAAGCAGGGGGCTGGACTAGAAGACCTCCAAGGTCCCTTCCAACTCTGTTATGTTATTATATTATATTAAAATATTTCAGTACAAATTCTGAATGTAGTAATTCATTTGGAGAACCTCTAGAATGAATATTGGCTCCTGTCATTTTGATATCGCCAGACATTGCTGTGCATTGAATGCAAAGTAATTGAGCCTGTTGTCGTAGTGTTTGTCATGTTTTTTTAAAGTAGGAATACAAATATTGTAAATAGATACATGCTTAATTCTAGAGTTGTTTGAATGTTAAGGCAATTCCTGACAGTTCGCACTGTTTTCCGTTGGAAATAGATGGATTAGCTTCCTCTAAAATGTTCAACCACCTCTTAATTCACTGTCTAAAATAATTTTGGGTAGATCAGGTAAAGATTCACTGAAACATAGTAATTAATTTAAAATGCTAAAAATGTTATTTGTAATAGAAGCGGCATAGTTGACTGAGGGCGTTTCTATCATTTTCCTCATAATGGTTGTCTGACAAAACAATTCTTAATAACTGGGTTTGGGCAAATTGTGGAAAAGTCTGTTTTAGCGTATAATTTACTTACAAAATAGATTGATTTTTGTCAGTAAGATGTGGTTGTGTTAAACACATTTGTAGTTTCCTGTAAAAACAAAAACAGGTGAAATGTAGTGTATATTTTAGTTTGCTTTTTTTTTTTAACGTACTGTGGAGGAAATTTGTGCTCAAAAACATATCGTTTGCATATAATTGAGAGCTATAATTTGTCAAACTTCTCCAGTATATTTTGTTGAATGTTATCAAGCAGATATTTCTCTTCCATTGGTTCTAATTCTGCCTGCAAAAATGTGTCTATCCATTAATAAGTAAATAATTACAAGGCAGTGTGTGTTTTAAACCTTGTCTTGTGTGGTTGATATTTTTGGGAAAACCTCCAGATAAAATAGACTTCACTCTGGTAAATAGACAGAGTTTGGGAACCAAAGAACTATAGGTGGGATTTGTAAGAAGGTGCTGGGAACTGAATTATATTTGGCCTTATTGATATTAATTGGGTAGTAGTTAATAAAAGTTACATTATGACCTTACACACCACAATACTATTTAACCTTTTCAGCAATGACCTTGTAAAATGTCACACTCTCTGTTATTGCACTGCATTGAAAGAATATCGGATAAATGTAAACTCTTCTTTAAGGTTACTTTTGCAAGGTGGATGTTGACAGAAATTAACTATGTTGCTACGGTTTTGGTTTTCTACTGTTTTATGTTTTTTTAAAGAAGTTGTTCAGCAGCTAGGTTGTTTTTGCAGGAGGCTGTCAGTTATAAATGGTTAAGAGTACTAATCATTTTTTGCATTGATTATTATATTCTGTTTGTTCTCATTGATCAAGGTATTTTATGCACATAAGCCAATGAACAATTGTTATTCTACTAAAAATCAATTTCTCGAATATCCTGGATAACATGCCTCTGTTTCATATATCATGTTGAATCATGACGCGTAATATTAATTACCAAGCTGTTCCATAAATGGAAAAGAATATATTCTTAATGGAAAGTATGCCTTAAGCTGGTATCATTGAACATCAATGAAAATGATATGAGAAGTTTGATAAAAGAAGTATAACAGGTAGAGTCGCCTTTCAGCTCCAATCCAGGAGCCCTCAGGAAGTCGCATTCATGACAAACCATTTTATATCAAATTCTTTATCAGCAAAATATAAATTTGGTATATATGTGTGTGTGTGTGTATGTATGAATGAGATACATAAATTTGATTAATAGATAAATAATAAATATCTTCTCAATTGTTCGGCACAAATGACCAGGATATAACTAATTCATTTATGGAGGTTGATTTCTTGTTGGTTGATAAGACCTAGCCATAATTTTACTTAAAAATAAAATAATTAAAGTTAATATCATTTAATCTGTTTCTCGCACGTTAAATATATAAAATAAGCTAAAGTTACATTTGAGAAGCGTAATTCCTGGTGAATTACATAGAATGATCGATGCTGTTTTCCTGACAGGACCAACTGTAGTTCTTTATGTAGTTTTATTAGAACAGGAAAATCAGAAACTGCTAGCATTAAATTAAAGTGACCAGTTTGCCTGTTATTCCCTTGGTTTGGGTCAACAATATGATCCAAAATAGTTCTTCTTTAGCACCATTTCCAACTTTTTACATTGTAATCCAAATATCAAATTTTATTGAAAAAGATTTTAAAGATTTACGTTAGTTCTGTCTCACCTTGCTAAGTGAACAATAATAGTGGCATTCCAAAGAAATGTTTGTTTTAGGGATGAATAAAAGTTACTAATTGATGTACAATTTACCCGACATAAATTATAGAACAATATTATTGCCTTTTTTTTTTTTTTTACATTACTTGCTGCCACTTTCTCCTCTTTACTTACTCTGCCAGAAAGTGGAAGAGTATTCACACTTAGGACTTGTGAGTTTTAAAATAAACAAACATAAATTGCAGTATTTTTGGTTTTGCCTATTTCTACAACAATAAATCTCTTTTAGTTTACCTGTTTGGTATCCGGCTTTTGAAACGTTGGACACCTTTCAAAATAATGTTCATGTCTGTCCGGTTTCAAGATGATGAAATTGATTAGGATCCAGGAATTTGCACACCACACCTTTTCGATTCCAAATATCTTAAGGATGAAACTTGCACAGTTTGTCTTCAAAATGCGAGAGAGTGACAGAGAGAGAGAGAGAGAGAGATGAAAAGTTCTGGAGTTAATGCAAGGATCTTCTTCACCCCATAAAGAGCAAAGAAAACATCCCTCTTCCTTGCACGGATAGAAGTGCTCTTTGATTTACATGACAGCCACAAGAGGGCATAGATGTGAACAAGGCTGGCTCTGAAGTTGCAAATGGATGTTAATCACAAGGGCGATACGCTTGCTGTGATGCTGTCGCTGACTTGGGAATTTGAAGTCTCTAAAGGTGATTGATGGGAAGAGGAAGGATAAATAAGCATCAGAGTCATCTGGGTTTCAAACTGCAGATGGCTCTCTTGGTCTTCTCATAGGTCACGCTTGGTATCTCCAACTTGAATTTTCCTTTCCGTTCTTCCTTGATGCCTGTGAATGGCAGGCAGGTGAGAATGGCTAAGTGGGAAGTTAATTTACGTCTGGGGAATAGAGTTTGAAGCAAACGCCAGCTATGAATTCCCAAGAGCGAAAATGTTAACTAGATGAGGATCTGGGTTGCCCATGTGAAATGAGAATGATGACCAAGTGGCCTGTGTTTGTGACTTTAATACATTGTTGGTACATTACGGATACAGTGCTGGTTTCTGCCTTTGTGTTAAAACTTTTTGGTAACAGATCACGAAAATGGGGGATAGAGGTCACACAATTTTTAAACTGGACTTTAGACTTTGTCTCAAAATATACGTAGAATAACCTTTTTCTTGTTAAGTTTTATAAATAAATCTGCTATTAATTCCAGTTGAGAATGTCTAAACATTTACGTTTTGTTTATTTGTGTGGTTATTGTAAGGATCTTACGTAGCCCCTAAATATACTTTAGGTATATCTCCGCGGGGAACCTCTGAAATTGGCTGGAATTCTATGTGCTCCATGCTGATTTACACCTTTCTAATAATGTCTCTGTATTCTTTTTACAAATGTAATTTTATTAATGATATTTTTTTAAAAAAAGATAAAAAATGAACTAATATAAGTTACTAATTAGTTACTAATATAACTAATATAAAGTGAGAGAAAGAAAAGAAAAAAAAGCTAAAAGTGCAAGAAAGAAAAAAAATGAAGAAAAAAATATGAAGTAATAGTTTTCAATCTTTTTACAGCAGTTATAAATTCAATTATAAAATTACGTCTTACAACATAGCTATCTTCTTTCTGCGGTCTATTCTGTCTAATCATCAAAACTTCAAATCATTTTTTCCCCTGCTTCAGGTTTCCAGTCACCAGTAAATATAGGCATTGTCTCTTCTCTAACCAAGTTAATTTAGCAATTTCAACAAGTTGCTGTGCCATGGGTTCCTCTCCCGATTTTATTTTATATTCCCCTTGGCAAAATTCTTATTATTTAACAATAAGTTAGCCATTTGGGTTTACATATTATTCCTCATCTATAAAATGCTTCTTGCGCTTAGAATTACATAGATAACTTCGCGACAGCCTGGGTTTGTGTCTATTCTATCTAACATATGGATTTTTAAAATCCACATTTTTGTCTTGATTTTATCATGCTACAAATATCCATGCCACCCAAATCACGGGTCATGTCCTTCTAACTCCAAAAATCTTCTATTTCTCAATAACACCCACTCTTTCTACCAAACCAAACTGCAAGCTGCAAAATACAATTTCAAGTCAGGTGAAATTCAATCCTTTGCATCTTGTAACATCTTACATTTAACTCGTGTCCTTTTTCCCAGCCGCACAAATTTAGGTGTCTCCTTGTGCCGCTGTTTAAATGCTGCATCAGTTGTCAAAAACATTGTTCTATCTAGGCAAAACATCGTTTTTATCACAGATATTCTGCCCGGCAATGTCAGTTGTAGTTTATCCCATCTTAACGTATCTTTTTTAACTTTATTCCGTGTCTTAATATAGTTACTTTGAAATAGCATCAAGTTCATATTTATCATAGGGATACCCAGATATTCTATTTTCTTCTCAGTCTTAAGACCTGCTTTAGTCATCTATTGTTTGATCTTCCATCTGCATATTTTTTTGTTAACATCTTCCTCTTCTATTTATTAGTCGTCTGACCTGCCAGTGCACCAAATTCCTTTAATTTGCCCATTAATATGCCACCAGGTTTGACATTTTGGGCTTAGACAATTTAGAACTACGCCTCCTTTGGTCTGATTTAAGCGTAGTACACAAAATTATCTGCTACAATATCCTACTTCAGTTTCAACCACAATAATACATGAGCACACAATAGATACAAACGTAAGGTAAACCACTCCAAACTCGATTGCAGAAAATACGACTTCAGCAACAGAGTGGTCAATGCCTGGAATGCACTACCTGACTCTGTGGTTACTTCCCCAAACCCCCATAACTTTAACCTTAGACTGTCTACTGTTGACCTCACCCCATTCCTAAGAGGTCTGTAAGGGACATGCATAAGCGCACCAGCGTGCCGACCCTGTCCTGCTGTCCCCCATTTATTCGTATCCATTTCCTGTATTCATAATCATGTTTATACTTTTATCTTATACATGCTTGACAAATAAATAAATTAAAAAATAAATTAAAAAAATATTTCAGTTCCCTTTAGTGGGATCTTCCAAAACCAGCACCCAAGCCATCTGCAAAAGTCCTTAACTTGTAAGCTTCTTTTAAAAATCTTTAACGCCCCAATCTTTTCACCCTGTCTTATATCTCGAATCAATATTTGAAGAAGCAAAATAAATCAGATTGGGTACAGTGGGCCTCTCCGCCTTCTTCCTTTTCATATCGCATAGAACTTTGTTTGTTGTTAGGTATCTGTTAAAAAATCATTTCTGTTTTCTATAGATCGATCTTACCCATTTTGTAAAGTTCAAAATTCAAATAATACCTCTGTAACTCTTTGTTCTTTCAGCCCTATCGGGTGGGTGCTTAATTAGAAGCAAGGCCCACCGATTTTCAGTTTTTCTTGCTGCCAAGAAACTTTTGCAAAAAAGTGCAAAAGATTTGATCGTCTCTTTGTCCACTTCCCTCCAACTTTTATTACCCTTATTTTATTTCAGATTTAAATCTCTAAGATGTGTTAAGAAATGGCTATATAACAGAACCGATCTCTAGACATCGAAAGCTATTCTCGCTGAGCTGCTCACGTGTACCCCCCCCCCGTTAGAAGGGTATGGATTGCAAATTGATCTTAAGAATGATAGATGTGGTTTTGTTTTTTTTTACTGCAGCTGGGCTATTGTGGAAGGGGTTTGCTGTGTGGGCCTCCCAGGAATTGCTTGAATGTTGTCTCTTTTGTGCGAAGTTTTTGTTTGAAAAGCTGGTGGGCAAACACAACTAGCTTGATCGCACCTGCTTCTGTTGTAGGGGGATGTGAGTCTATTTGGACAGAGAGCGCATCAGTTGCCATTTCATTCAACCTCACACAAAAGAAGTCCATAAGGAGGAACATTCTACTGACGCCCAACCACAAACCCATGCTTGCAGCCATAGTGACGCTTGTAAACACCGAATTCCTCTTTTGTTCCAACAGGCAGTTGGAAAACAGCCAGCGGAGAAGTTTTCCCCTCTGTCTCTACATCATCACAAAATAGGTTACGCATTCATTAAGTCTTTCCAGGAAATCTTTTTTTAAAAAAAATACTTTGAGATCTAAAAAATCAGCAGAACCAGTTTCAGCTTCAGAATATCCAGCTTGTTAAGCAATGGTTGGCTTTACATTTTAGCACACAACGTATTGCTTTTCTTCTCGTAAAATGAACCGAGGTGGTGCAGTGGTTAGAGTGCTGTACTGCAGCTACTTCAGCTGACTTCAGCAGATCAGCAGATCAAATCTCACCAGCTCAAGGTTGACTCAGCCTTCCATCCTTCCGAGGTGGGTAAAATGAGGACCCAGATTGTTGGGGGCAATATGCTATTTAGTATACTGTCTTTGGTGTAAACTGCCCAGAGTCCTCGGAGAGTGGGCGGCATAGAAATATGATTAATAAATAAATAAAATAAATAAAATAAACCAGAGATGCCTAAACTGAATTCCAGGGGCCATATGTTGTCATGAAAACCTTGTGTTTGCCTTCCTTCCAGACCTTCAAAATGAATCCCCAAATATCCATGGTGAATGTAACAGAAGTTAAACGATTAGATGTGATTTAGAGCCGTGATGGCGAACCTATGGCATGCGTGCCAGAGCTGGCACGCAGAGCCCTCTCTGTGGGCACGTGCACCATCATCAGCTGCTTTTCTGGTTTCCGGCACGCATATCTTCGAGTGCCGGAAAATGGCTTGAAAACAGCCTGGAAAAAAAGCTGGTCTTTCCACACACTGGAACACTGGAAACCTGAAAACCAGCTGGCTGGCACGCACATGCTTATTTTTTGGCTGTTTTTCGGACCAAAACCAGCCTGGAAACCAGCCAAAAAACAGGCATGTGCGTGCCAGCCAGCTGGTTTCCGGGTTTCCGGTGTCTGATGTGCGCACATTCATGTGCGTTCCGGTTTGGGCACTCGGTGTCGAAAAGGTTCGCTATCACTGATTTAGAGAGTTATAGCATCAACTAACTTTTAGTTGATGTTTAGTTGATGTTTAGTTAAATTAAATAGTAATGAAATGAAAAGAAAGTCAGTTTTCGCTGTAGTCCAAATAAGTAGTTGTGTGTGTTTGTGTGTGTGTCCTATTTTATCACAAAATCTAAAAAGTTGTGCCCTCTGCTAAATAGGCTGCCTTACTATTATGAGTGTCACTCCCTGTTTTTATTTTACAGGTCGTCCTTGACTTACAGCCACAACTGAGCCCCAAATTGCTAAGTAAGACAGTTGTTAAGTGAGTTTTGCCCCATTTTGCAACCTTCCTTGCCACGGTTGTTAAGTGAATCACTGAAGGGGTGAAGTTAGTCACACGGGTTGTTAAGGGAATCTGGTTTCCCCATGGACTTCACTCGTCAGAAGGTCACAGAAAGGAATCACATGACCGGGGGACAATGCAATCATCATAAATACCGGTACATACCAGTTGCCCAGCGTCCAAATGTTTGATCATGTGACCATGGGGAAGTTGCAACAGTCATAAGTGGGAAAAAAGAAGTCATCACACATTTTTTCAGTGCCGTTGTAACTTCAAATGGTCATTAAATGAATGAGGACCCAGTTTGTGGGGGCAATAAGCTGACTTTGTATAAATATACAAAAGTATGAAG